GTATGCTATTATTTATTTATTGATAAAAATCTATCTTGTTAAAATTGTGCCTTGTAGTTAACAGATGAACATAAAAAGCTCAATCCACAGTGTGAAGTTCCAGTAAGTAAATAAAACCATCTCTTTCAAAATCTATCTTAAGAAAGAAATCTTTTGAATTGATCTACGAATTAAAAATTATTCTTTTCATTTAGGTACTTATTATTGATGGAAAAAAACTTCTACAATCAGTATGTTGATCAAAATAAAACTGAAATAGTGTTTCTATGTGTGCCTTTTTTTCCTCTTTAGATTCCTATCATCGAATATATTGATGAAACAAATCAGATTCAACCTCGACTTGTACCAGAAGATCCTTATCAACGTTATCAGGTTGTACAGAATAAAATTAGAAGAAAAATAAAATAGATTTTTCAATCTGATTATTAGAATTTTTCGTCGATTTAGGCTCGTTTGATTAGTGAAATCATTGCATCTGGTATTCAGGTAATTTTTATTTATTTACTTTTTTTCTGATTTTTCTTTTTTAATATAAAGCCGTTGCAAAATTTAAAAGTTCTTAAACGTGTTGGTGAAGACAAAAAAACTGAATGGGCACATGATTTTATTAAAGCAGGACTCGGTGGTAAATTAATTATTTAATTAATATTCAATTATATGTGTATAATTTAACTTTTATATAGCGGTAGAAAAAGCTCTTGAAGAGTCAGCAGGACAATATTGTGTAGGGGATCAAATTTCAATAGCTGATTGTTGTCTTGTACCTCAACTCTATAATGCACGACGGTATATATATATATTCATTTCATATTTATCTGCTTGTCTTTATGATTCTTTTCTATATAGATATAATGTTGATTTAACTGCATATCCTATTATGTCAGCTATTGGCGAAAGATTAAATGAACTTCCTGCATTCAAAGAAGCACATCCAAATCGTCAACCTGATTGTCCTGATGAAGAAAAAATAAAATCTTAATTTAACATTCTTTTGTTGAATAATAATATCTTTTTTGTCTTGATTTTTATTATAATTCATAGTTTTAAACAAGCACATAGAAGAAAAACTTGATAGTAATTATATTATATTTAAAGAAAAATAAATATATATTTCCATCACAGAAATCTGTTTGTTCATCAATACGTGAATTCTATATGCTATCAAATATATTTTTGAAAAACAATCGCCAAAGACAATACAATGCATAGTAGAGATAGAAATGGTTTAGCTCGAGCTTTCTAAAACAAACTAGGTTAGTACTGTTTGGTTTCAAAAACACATGAACCGGTCCCATATTTGGTATATAACACAAGAATTTGATTATTAAAGAGTGGAAATAAGGAGAGTTATGATGACCGATATATCATTGTTAACAATTTTTATTTCAAAAATGTTCATTGAAAATGAACGAACAATGTCTGGTTTTTTCTCTCAATAAAGATTTATCTTATCACGTATCATTAGCAAAAATGGATGATATCGTCAACGATTTAATCGACTTTAAAAATTGAAAAACATAAATAAAAAAAAATTAAAAGTGACGATTCATTCTTCGACAATACAGCTGTTTTTATCACACCTGGACGATTCCCATGTTAATTGCGTCAAAAGAACCAAAGAAATTGTTAAAACTAGATAAACGTTTTGTGGAGATAATGTCAATCATGATGAAAACGACTGAAGCAGTTTTTTTTTTGTAATTAAAAACTGTCTTCAGCTGTATTCTCATGTCAAAAAACAAGATATTGCCTATATTGCTCAAGAAATTTCATGTATTTATTCATACATGAGAAGCACACAAATCTAGAATTCAAAAGTAAAAATAATATTATCTTGATGGATTAGTATTCTTGTCTTATTCTATTTCAAATACAAAACGAACTGAATATTAAACTATCGTGAACTTTATACTTAAAGATTTTAACGAATGGAAAAAAAAATTGAAATAATTTGTTTTATACAGGAGCAACTGTTCGTATATTGTTAATAAATCATGTCACAATATTTTTAAGTACCTTATACCTAGTTCTATTTGTTTTGCTTTCTACTTGTTATATTGTATGCCTTTGTACTTTGAAAAGTCACATGCATCGCTTGTCTATATTCACATCATACACTAGCTGATAAGGTGTATATATAATGCAGTAAATACAGAAGAACAGAGAAGAGAGAGAAAAAAAAAATAATACAACTGACATTAGCGGACTTTTTATTTTAATATTCAGATCGTTGATTCTTATCCTGTATAGATATATACCTTTTCTTTTTTGTTTTTGTTGTTAGGAGAATTATTCAACTGAAAGAAAAGATAAACAATGCCAGAAACCCATGAACGTCAACTTTCGACTAGTGAAGATGAAACTGGTAAACAACGGCGNTAAATGGTACACCTGAACATCCACATGATCAAGTTTATGAACTTATTTTTGCTAAAGCATTGGAATCATATTATGAAATAAAAAATAATAATAATCAAGTAAAATAGAAGCATTCAAAAGAAAAATGAAATATAAATTTATTTATTTAGGTTTGTTTTCTATTTTCAAAAACAAATTTACAAAATCTTCATGGTTATAAAACATTACAAGATTTTCTTGATCACTCTGAATATGCTCTTAAAAGTATACAAAAATATGAATCAGTACGTGGAGAAGGTTATGTTACTATTGGTGGTGCTGAATTAACACGAGAGCTTACAAAACGACTTAATTTAACATCATCACAACGTTTATTAAATTTTGGCAGTGCAACTGGTGGAAGTTCATTTCAAATTTCTCAAGTTTGTAATTCAAAAACAAAACAACACAAAATCAATATTTTCTATGAATATTAACGTTTTTTCTTTATTCTTTTAGGATTACGGCTGTGAAATTGTTGGTGTAGATATTTCAGCTAACATGATCGGCATTGGTACTAAGTGAACAACATGTTGGTTTGATTTTGAAAGTTATTCATATGATTTGATTTTAGCATGGGATCGAGCTTTATCATATAAAGGACATCGAATTCGTTTTGAAGTTGGTGATGGTAGAAAAATGCGATTTTCACCATCAAAATTTGATGTTATTTATAGGTAATACCAAGAAATCATTTATTCTAGAAAGCAATTTTAAATATTGATTTTTTTGAAGTCGTGATGTCATGTTTCATGTTTCGGATAAGACAGCATTACTTAATAATTTTTATACATGGCTTAAACATGATGGTCGTTTATTGATTACTGATTTTTGTTGTGGTAATACACCATTTTCACAAGATCTTATTGATTATGCACGTTCTGGCATGTATACTATGACACCCATACAAGAATATGCTGAAGTAACAGGAAAAAAAACGATGAAAACATTTGAATTGTTTTTGTTTTTTTATTAAAGCTCTTTGAAAAATGTGGTTTTATTGAAGTACATGTAGAAGATCGTTCTGATTTATATCAACAATATTGTCAAAATGAAATTGAAATTGCTGAAAAAAATCGAATGAATCCTAATTCTGTAAATATTTATTTTCTTTGCATATAAATTTTTTTTTGTTCTTCTATTTATTTAGAAATTAACTCGTCAAGAATTAGACGAATGTGTTCGACAATGGAAATTAAAATATTCTTTAACAAATTCAGGTCAACGTCGTTGGTGCATTTTTGAAGCACTCAAACCATCAGTGTCATTTTATGAAGATGATAATAATGAACAATAAAAAATTTGATTACTGTTGTATGAGATTGGTCTATTTAATGCAAAAAAAAGAATACAAAATAAATCACTATGAAAGAAAAAAAAAGAACAATGGAAGGAAATTAAATTATAGAAGGTGTTTCGTCAATATGAGATTTGTCTTCATTTTTTTGTTGATCTAGAATAAAAAAAAGATTAGTTTACAAAACAAAAAGACTTTTATATCTATTTACTATCAGCCAAGTATCTTTCTCGAAGATATGCCATTATTTTTGCAATATAGACATCAACATGATAAGCGTGTCGTTTAAATTCCTCACTAAAATAATCAAAGCTAAAGAATAAAATTTCTTTAAAAAAAGAAAATCTTACAATGTAATATTATAGTCAAATTTTATTTTTTGAGCTATATATGATATCATAAATAATGAAGTTTCACCATGTGGACCCTTTTCTGAACCACAATATTTATTAAAATGTGTATTTGTAAAAATATTATAATGTATATTCTGTACACAAATAAAAGAACAAGACTTAAATTTTCCTTTTTTTTTTTAAGCAATAAATCAAACCTCAAGATCATGTGTATTTGTAGTATAACGATCATTTTCAACAATTTCAAGTGTATTAAATATAAATTCAACAAACATATGATATATATGACATAAAAATACTGAATTTTCATTATCTTTTGCCTGTTCATGATGTGACAAATATTCATCAAGAAATTTAGCTGCTTCACATGCTGTTTTAGCCAATTTAATATCATTTTTATAATGATATTTATTATAAATACGTGTTAATGTATCTGAAACAATACCAGAATAAGATGATGTTGGTGATGAAAATGTTGCCATGGATGATATGTTCTTTACAAAAAAAACGAAAAGAAGTACAATAAAAAAAAAATTATAATAACTATGATTTGTATATATTTACTTTTAACATAAATAGTGGTCGTACATTTGATGTTAATATTTTCGATAGGCAAAACATATTTTGTCAAATTATCTAAAAGATTGATTAATATAGAAGTTATAAACAAAAAAGCTTCTTGTCAAAAAGTGAGTATTAAAATAATTTATTGATTTCATTCGAGTAGATCGATAATTATTATTATCAGGAGATACAAATTGAAATGTTAATCAATGTACGAATTGCTTATAATAAAGTCAAATCTAATCTTAAGTTAAGAAAGAAATCTTCCAACGATTTTGTTTTGTCAGATAATAAAAACTAACAGACAATCAGACAACATCTAGTATGTGGTTAAAAGGTTAGATAGTGAAGTGATAACTGTCTAGTTATGAGTTTGTTATTAATCATTGACTACTTCTAAGAATGATGTATATCGAATATATTTGTCATACACTTGATGTTGAAACTAAAGTTGTAAGTTTCATAAATCAAATTTATAGACCTCGTTTTTTTTTTCAATTGAATTATTTACTGATGTTGCGTCAAATCTAAATAAAAGATAATAATTTCATCGTTAATGCTGTGAAAGATAGTATTTATAAAGTAACAGTAATTAACTCAACTTTTTGAAAAGAATTAAAATTTTTTGGAAATATAAATATTTAAACAAATTCAAAGTTAATATGTATTAAATAACATTGTAAAATGTTTCTTGATAGATATCAATTGATTATGTAATCACATTATTCATCTTAGTTTCAACGAGCATTATTCGCATCTAATCTCTATTCTTATATATGTCAGTTTGTATTTGCCAAAATTTCATTCATATTTAACATTGCAAGCCATCCGACATATCACTTCATATATCAGTGAGTTTTTACTGTAAAGTTTTTTTTTTGCGCAAGCTTTATCAAATTGCATTATAGGTAATTTTTATGTCGTAGATTTTAAGTACATGAATTGTCATTGTGTCAAATTGCAATTTATATTGATACAACTCAAAATAATCTGTAATGTATGCTTGTCATAAGAAAGACTATAGTTGAGAATTTTCAAAAATGTTAACTATCAACTACATTATAAAATTCGAATATATATAACAGGTAGTAGACCTAGAATAATAGCGTAATATGGCTTTTGAGACAAAGACTAATAGGAGGCAGTCATTCAAGCGATTAACTGCTTATACATTGGAACTATGTGCATCTCGTAGATTGTCGCAGTTATCCTCTGCAACACCAGGAAAAAATAATTTTTGAATTTCAATGTGAAACTTTGCATATAAATGAGTCTTAACGAGAATTGTTAATTGAAAAAGTATAAGGCCATTTAATTTGTTCCTGTTCTGAAAAACAGATCATCGATTCTATGGGTTTATATCAGTGATATAAAAGATGCGCTTTTATCATGGTTGTATATTGGGGTAGGAACAAGGAAAATATCTGAAACTTTTACCATCAACGTTTTTTGCCAAGGCTTATTTCTATGCAAAATTACAAGTCGAAATTCGAAAATCAGTTGTCTTGATGTTCTGGAGAGAGACCAAAGCATTCTATTTAAAAATACTGTAAAATTACAACATGTCAACAGAAATAAGCCATAAATTCGAACTCTTTTAGGAATATTCATATTCCATTGAAGTTTACACGATGCACATAGTCACAACTTAAAAGTGATTAATCAGTTGGAGGACATCCCTCGTGAGCCAACCTACCATTACATATATTAATACAAGAGTTGATCTCGAAGCTAGAATTTAGTTTCTATGATGAATAACTAAAATTTCTATTCTTTCTTCATTATTGCTGTAAATAGTCAAATTAATTTAATAACACATTCGTTTTGCTTTGATTTTATCAATATTTCATCAGTAAGCTCTAAAGCATAAACTCCAAACGTTATTTTTGTTCTTAATCTAAAATTTCACAAAAACAAAAAAAAGTTTTATTGAATTAAAAGATCATTAATAATTCATATTAATATTCACACGATTTTGTTTTATGTTATTGTTGTCTCCATTATCATTCTAAAGTAAAAGTCAAACAATAATCAGATCACCTTAAGCATGAGAACAAACAAAAAAAGAAAACACACGCAATCATCACACATATTACAAGACGACAACAAGTAATCAAAAACAAATTGCGGAAATTTAAATGCTTTATAAAAAGAAAAACTAATTTGGTGCGTTTGTGTTTGACAAGCAAAAAAAAAGGAACCAAAAAGGGTAACAAAAAAAATATGTATAATGTATAAGAAAGATGTGAGAAATAGAGAGAGAGAAAAAACATCAGATATGGTACAATAGTAACAACATGCATGTGCACGATTGATGAGAGATGGTGAGAAAAAAAAACGAGACCGGGCTTATTATAGCTACATTCGAACATATGTATGTTACTGAGTATAGCACCGAATAGATGATAAAGCAGTTTATTTGTTTTATGAAGACGAAGATGGAGGTAATGATTCTTGTTCATCATCACCTTGTTGCATTGGTGATGATCCACGTTGATTAGATCGATACTGCTGAATAGGTCTTTGTTGTTGTTGTTGTTGTTGTTGTTGTTGTTGTTGTGATGGTTGATGATGATGATGTTGTGATTGTTGAGGTTGTGATTGTTGATGTTGTGGTTGTTGAAGATTTTGTGGTTGTTGATGATGACGTATAACAATAGGAATTTGAACAGATCCGATTGCATTTGTTGGGCGATTTGATCGTACAGCAGATGGTTGTTCATTTTTATGAGTAAAAAATGATGGATGCCGATGAATTAAGTCTTGAACAGTTTCTTCATATCGTTCAATTAATTGATGTTTATTTATTGATACAGAATGATAATGTTGACCAGCTGGGTGTTCAAGTAAACGTTGAAGAAATTCTTCGAGTAAAATTGAATGTTCATTAGCTAAATATGATTTAAATTAAGATTAGTTTTTTTCCTTTAAAATAATTCATTTGTTTAAATACATACGTTCAAGTTTATCGAGTAATAAACACCAAATACGTTGAATTTCTGTTATATATGCTTGATCATCTTCTGAACTAAGTTTAAGTTGCATTAAACATGGAAGAAATTGATGTATCATTGTATCAAGACGATAATCAGGTATAGTTTTAAAACGATGTAAGACAACATCATTCCATTTCTATCAAATTGCAATCATACGAATTTATAATTGAAAGAAAAATGTTAAATTCTTACTTCAAAACATAATCGTCTTGTTTTAAATAAAAGATAACTATCCATAGCTCTCATAGGTAACATACATTGTTTTGAAAGACGCAAATTAAATTCACAAGCAACACAAAAATATGTTATGGCTTCATCAAATCTAAATAATAAAAAATTTTGTGTCGACATAGCTCCTTTAAAAATTAAATGTGGAACTCACATGTATTCTGAAGTCTCCTTATACTAATGGCCATTTCAGAAAACTATACGAGTGCGGTGTTTTTTTAATAACTTTTGATAGAAACAAGATAGAGAGATGCGGTTTTCATCTTTAGATAGAGAGGCGATGACGAAGCATCGAATCGTATTTTACAAGAATCTGGGTCTAAAGACTTTGGACCCGATAGACTCTACTGTCGGATGACTGTAGTGGATTTTCAATAAGCAGGTGCGCATCCGAACCATCAATGAATGATCTAGAAAACTGTGCAACTCGCAAGTTTTTAGATTTAGTTATTTAAGAGCCATAGGTATGCTAGCTGAAATTCTCGTTCGACTTTTCAAGCAATCGCTATGAAACAAAACACACTTTTACTTTTTTCTTTTGTTGATCAACACTTTTTGTTTAAATGAAATTAATTAAAAAGCTTCAGAAAGCCCTATAATATACGATTCGATGCGACCTCATCTCATCTTTGTAATGGTGAAAATTGCAGCACTCTTTCTTGTTTCTATCAAATGTTATTGAAAAAATACTCATCTGCCTTTTTTTTGTGAAATGAGCCTTAATATAAAATACGTCAAGTGAAAAATCTCTAAAAGACTATAGTTGTCTATCAAGGTTAATCGATCGCATATAAAACCATCTCTACTATTTATTTCTGCGGTTTAAACAAAATTTTTTTTTCGTTTTTTCTACTGGCGCTTTATTGTTTTGTTTGCCTTGTTGTTATTCATTCGTTCTCTTTCATTTTCACATTCCTTTTTGCTTAATTTTAAATTCTTATTATTCTTCTGGTCGTTGATTGAAGTAGACAAATAAATCTGTTACACACATCCATATAAAGCAGTCCAGTCAAACGCGAAAGCTTAAAAAAAACATATGCTACTGCACGTAGTCCTGCATGTACATACGATGGAAATTTGCGCATGTACTTGTGTTTTATTATCGCATGTGAAAACATTCAAGTGCTTTTTTTTAACGAGCTCTTGCGTGTGCATAAAAGAAAGCTCTGGAATGATTAAAAAATGAAGCATATGTAGCAACCATGCATGAACACATAGTAGCCAAGATTCGAGCATATATTGTTTTATAAGATGAAAAAATAGGCATGTACACGAATCATAATAGTTGTAAAGAATTTGAAAAAACTGAATAAGATTTTTGAGTTAATATAGTTTTACTTTATAGAAATGTGATCTCATTTTAACGAAAAATAAAAATTTCAAACCGAAGAAAATATTTAATTCTTGGATGGACACTGCAAAATAACTGAAATTTGCATATCGATACAAAATCGCTTTACTTATAATTTTCGTAAATACGAACTTTTCACGTCGACACACAGTATTTCGTAAAGCTTTAATCATCATGCAGGTGCATACACGCCATATTTCTTGTATGGCTATACAAAAATATTGCATGTAAATATTTGCAAGGATACGAATCACACATGTGCTACTGTTTTGCATCTATGTGCAAGAATTGCCTATATATCAAATAAATTGCATGTTCGTGCATGCAATGCACTTGCTGAAAAAATATCTTGCAAGTTAACGCGAGTTTCTGAATATTTCTTACAAATATACGAGGTTTTTTAAAGTTACGCGTTTGATTCGATGGTCTCAGAGAACTAATGTATATCTCGGTAAGTTCATGAGCACTGATATTGATTATTTTCCGAAGTTATTAATTGTTCAGTTTATGGTTTTTATATTAATTGTATGAGCAAATCATTGCATTACTAACTATCATCGCTGACATTTTGAATATAGTTTTATTCGAGCACAAACTGCACTATTTTGGACATTCATAAATGTATTCCAGTCATTCAAATTTCGAGGAAGGTTTTCGAATGTTCTAGAACAGTCTAACTTTCTCGCTAATGTCGTTCAGCACCTTTTTCTATTGCTCAAGAGCTCAGAAAAAGTAGTTTGGCGCCTATTGTCCCCGGTTGCTATGAAAACGTACCCGATAATCATTGGCCGGTCACTATGATTGAGTGACAAAGCTGTTTGACACGTATTCACAAAGTACTTTGTGCAAACCTCAGTATCACCAGTCATGGAATGACTCTGAACAAGTCGTAAGAGACTATTAGCCTGCGATCGCCCGTATAATAGCATGTTGTCACATATCCTTATTCTCGTGGTTAGTTAGTGTGCATCAGAAGTTCCAGCAATTGAGCACAAGAACTCCGCTAAGTAGCAGCCCATACTGCAAGACAGGGATATTCTTTCTTTCGTTGACTTTTCTTTCTCCCGTCTCTTTGATACAAATGGAGCCAAAAAACTTCGACTTAAGCTTACTATATTTGTCTTCGAAAAACATAATATGAATTCTACAAAAAAAAAATTTTCGTTGAATTTTACGTACTTATTTTCATGCATTAATTGATAGCCAACAAGATAAGCAGCAATAACAGATCGATAATCTTTATAATCACATAATATTTTCTACAAAATATTATTTTTAATCTCTCAAAAAAAATAAATAAATAATGATAAACTTTACTTGATATTCTTGAACTTCGTCATTTGACATCTTCATGTCATTACAAATAATTGTTGCTTGCAATTTAAATAATCTTAATCTAAAACAAAAATTTAAAATTTAAAGTTTTCTAATAAAAAAAAAAAAAACATCACTTCATTACCGAATATCATCATTAGAAATAGGTAAAAGACGTATAATATCATACATAACACGTTGTCGATAAATCATATCAACACGATTTGCTGATAAATATGAAAGAACATGCTGTAAACGATAATCATGATGTGGTAATGCTGATATTATAATATTAACTGTTGGTGAATAAATTTTTATTTCTTTATCAATTATCTAATAAACGAATAAATTTATTAAAAAAAAAAAAAAACTTTATTGAAATTTATTTACTTCTAGAAGTAAATGATCAAGTTCAATTGAAAGAATTTTTGTTTCATAGCTTTTTAAAACACGTAATGTTGAATCGACAACTGGTTTAACTATTTCTGAATCTAAAGAAATTATTACATAGAGAAAAAGTTATTTAATACATTGAACAATAGAAAAGTTTTTTTTTTCATTCCACTCTTTTAAACCCATACTTTGAGTGTTAGTATTCTCTTTTAATGCTTAGACATATTTATGCATCAAATTTGAGCCGTTTAGGTGTTATACAACGTTGTATCTTATTTATTTATTTCATATTAATAATATATTATTTTCGATATGAGTTGAAAGTCTCATCCAAATAGTTTCATATTAGACGTAAGTAATCTAGTAGTGTGCGTCAACGCGTCTTGAGGGAAATATTTCAAGTTTCGGAATATTTTAGAAAACAATTGATTGTAGGAAAACGCTTTACATATGGGAATTCAAATCAAGAATTGTTTCTCTCAGAGCAATAAGAACAAAAGATTTTTTATGTAGTTTCTCTAATTTATTTATTAATAGAAAATATCAAAATGAAAATTATTTCTATTAATTAATGATTAATAAAGAATAGTTGTTTACATGACGTTTCTATGTGTTCCTTTTATCACTTTCTTCAAATATAAGAATGAAGAAAAGAATTCGACTTTTCCTTTATTCCCTTGACTGAAAGAAAGATCATACGACATAAAATAAATTTGTACGTGTCTGTAAGCATGCACATGTATAGTCATCTGTCGAAATATATTTCTGACATATCTGACTAACCATTTAAGATGACTACTTTGTACTGGACTTCCAGCTAATCAGATGTTTTCGTTGTTTAAGGTGTATGTATGAGTGTGATTAGTTGAATAGGTGAAGAGAAGAATGCGATGGATCCATCATACACTCAAGTTCATGCATACATTTGATATTAGTATCGACTGGGCTTGTACAGTAGTTTATTATATAGGAAAAGTTGAACATTCAATTGAAGATCAAGTGAATCACAACGAAGAGCGTTACTTGTTTTGACATTAGGCAAAATTTTTCATTTTAATGGGAAATTCTGCATTTGTGTTTCGCACTATGATTTTGCGTTTAAGTATAATCTTTCTATCAATGACAATGCCCTATGTAGAATAAAACTAGTCTATCTCATGCTAGTTGAAACTCATATCACGTTCTCTATTAATCTCTAGATACACTAGATAAGATCTTAAAAGATGAAATTTTGCGCATAATTCTAAATATGTCTGTACATTATAAGAAAATGCACGTACTCAAAATTATGACTTCTAATAAAATCAGACGAAAAAAAAACTTTTCTAGTATCCTATATATATATGTATGATAGAATATACCAAAAGAAGCATTTGGTCCAACAAAAAATGGAAGACTTAAAACTTTATGTATCGGCTGAGATTTTTCAATACGTTCATATATTGTTTTAAGATCATTATAAAGTTGTTCTAGTTTAATAGTTTCTATTTGTTGTTGTAATAAAGTTAAATCATCATTTAAAACACGCTGAAGATCAGCTGTTAATTCATAATATACATCTAAACAAATATTTATATACAATAAGAAATAATAATAATAATAATAATTTAAAGTAGACAAACCATTTGATAATGATTTTTGTTCAGCATTTATATATACTAATAAATAAGCACTAGGTACACGTGGTACTTCACGATCATTGCATGTTCGTTGACCACCGATAGCATCTTCGAATACATCAGTCCATTTACTTTCAGTTACTACAAATAAAATTAAATATATTTTTTTATTCAAAGATGCTATTTGATTATGACAATATTTACCTTCATTATCATTATATCGATACCATTTTTGTCGATCTGTATGATAAACATAAGTCCAAAAATGTCCAAGTGTTGCACTTCCTTCATGAACACAAACAGCATGTAACGTATATAGAGCCTAAAACGAAATTTTCTATTTATTTTATTACTCATAAATTTAATTTATCGAACTTGTTTTAATTGAGGTTCATTATATAATTGTTTTAATTCGCTTTTTAAACGTCGAATTTCTTCACGAATATCTTAAAAAAAGAAAATTTTTATTTTTAAATAATTTTTTCTTTTTATTTTCTACTTACGTGCGCATTTAGCTTCAATTTCTGTTAACCATGTTGGTAATGTATTTTGAATAAATTGAAGTTCTTCATTTGATAAATGTGATCTTTGTATTGGTATAACAGGATGTTGTCGAGAACGTGTTGATGTTGTTTGATCAAATGATACTGAATCATTCCTAGAAAACAAAAGTTATTTGAATAAAAATTTTAAAAAAATATTTCTCTAATGAAAACAAATAACCTTTTAGGTAATGTTGGATTAAGTCGACAACCAGTTGCATATTCATAAACCACTCGAATAGCATTTGCAAGTGAAAATGATTCATTATTACATGGATATTTTAAATAACTACAACAAAAAAGAGTTATACATCTTTTAATAAATAATCATTTCTTTTTGTCTTTTATTTAATACCTGTTCAATGTATTTTCTAACTCATGTAATTGAGTATAAAGTGTTCGAGCAATATTTCGTTTACTTAAAATAAGATTTTTATTAGTTAACATATAACGATCAAGATAAAGCTCTGGATAAAATTCAAACGGTGCGATTATTTTAGATGCTTGTTTTGTTGTTTGTGAAAATCGATAACGATTAAGACAAAAAAATAAAACAGGTGGTAAACGTGTAAGCCATCGTTGTTCAACAATAGCCTAATAAAAATGTGAAGTAAACATGAATTCAATAATTTTCTTCTACCATATCATTTGATGTATAGATTAGAGATAGAAATGTACAAAGTAAGCTTTTTTTTTGTACCTTATACTCGGACTGAGAAAAATTTTCTAATCCTTATCCTAGACTGTAGATTACGGTAGTCCTGAATATGTCAGGTATGGATATACACCATTAGATCTACTAAAAAACTAAAATTAAAATTGATCTCATGATAACAGATTTTAAATTTTATATTATTTTGTTCGTTCAGATGAGAAATTCAAGAAAAAGCAATAAAAAGGAAGATTATCTTTTCTTGTTGTTTGTCTATTGATATTGATTATATTTTGAATCCTTTGTATCCTTATGTTTCTTCTCTTATGCTTTTGTTCACCTTATGGATGTTAAGTGTTTTTTTTTGTTCATTTTGTTTCCGCAAGAAAACGTGTGATAAGGTTCATTAATATGAAATTTGAAATTGTACTTCATATACAGACAAGTTTTTATTCTCGTCAGAAATACAACGAAAAATTTTTTGATGTCCTACTCTACGTCCTATGGCGTTCTCTAATTCACTATCTAAATTCTATTTGCAAGAATAAATATGAAATATACTTGTTGACTAGAAAGACTTTCATCTGCAGAACCAAGCCAAAGAGTTTCAAGACCATCATAAAGATTACTTGAATCAATCATTTGAATATTTATTTGTCTTAATGCTTCACGAACTAAATTTCAAACATAATATTTTTTCAAAATCATAACGTATAAAATTTACTTGAATTATTTTCATTTCTTTCAACAATAACTTCTCCTGTAACAAATGTATTAATAGGATTAATAAAATGTGCTGATATTGTTGTATTATCTATATTCATTAAACTATAATAAATAAATTGAATTTTTATTTCTTATTAAACTATTAGAGAAAAAAAAAAGAAATCTTCGAACTTTTTTCCAACTGTTTCATATGCAAGTTCAGCAAGATCAATTAAATGTGTAGCAAATTCTGAACAATCCTAAAATTTTGTAATTTGAATTTTAATTGTTTATATTTTAAAAGAAAATACTTCATGTGAAAAATCAACTCCACATAATTTTCGTGTATTTTTAAATTTTTTTATTGCGCGATCCGGATTTATTGAACAACGTGGTGATTTTAACATTAAAATAAATAAATTACGTAATTCTTCTGTAAAACAAATTGCTTGTTNAGTTGAAGTTGACATAAATTATCGAAACTGAAAACATTTTTTTCATGTAACATAACTTAGAGGATATTATTTTATTATACTAATTTAATAGAATCATTTCGCGTGACAAGATCTTGGTAGTCATTCCACGTAATATCTTGATTACACAAATATATTTGAAAATTTAATCTAGTTTAATTTTTCTCTATAAAATATCTATGTATTAATTCATAATACTCTCAAATTAGATATAATTCACGGTAGTACACTAATCCTTAATTACAGATTATATCAGAACATGCAAGGTATTGCTAATTTATTAAGAGAAATGTTTTCAGAGTCAGAGTTAATAAAATTTATCTCCATAGGTCTCAGCCTGTTACCACTATGTCACAGGATCTTGTTTGGGGACCCTGCTGAGAATTGCCTGACGGGAGAAGTTCTCCAACTGATAAATCACTTTTGAGTCAAAAGTATGTGCATTATGTAGACACAAATAAGCTATGAATATCTTGAAGAGAGTTCGTGTCCGTAGATTATCGTTGCGGAGATATTGCGATTTTACGATATTTTTTTAAATGAATGCCGTGCTCATTCTGAGAAAAGCTGATTTTTAAATTTCGACTTGAAAATTTCCGCTACAGACAGACATTAACAACAATAGTTTCAAATCTCTTGATTTTCTTCGATTCTGAAATAAGAACATCAAATGTGCCGGTTTATATGAGCGATATAAAAGATACACTATTATTATACTTTTATCCTAGGATAGAAACAGCAATAAGATCTGAAACATTCGCAAACACTTTTTCTTTTTTCAGTTCTGTCGTTATGCAAAATTTTCAGTCAAATTTTGAAAATTAGTTTTCCTCATGTTCCGCAGAAGGATCCGACATTTATTTAAAGAATACCGTAAAACGCAGTATCTCTGCAATAATATGTAACTGGTACGAACTCTTTTCTGGATATTAATCACTCATTTGTGTCTATATAATGCACATAATTTCGACTCAAAAGCGATTTATCAGTTGGAGTACTTTCCTTGTCAGTATATGAATACTTATCAGGTACCTGCCTCGTTTCTAAAACATTCTACTGAAGAATTTTTCAATAAATTAGTAGCTTGAATATTTAGAAACCTTTTGTAGTTAAATGCTAAAAATCTATAAAGTATCGAAAGGTTCTGCTGAAATATTTGTAGCAGAGTACCTGAGCTCAGTATATTCACTAGGGATTTAATAAGAGAGAAAAAAAATTAATTTTAGCGGACAGTAATTGTTATGATGGTGATGTACAATTCAATTTTTTGTTTTCAACTAAAAAAAAACACAAATTGAAGGCCTGTTTTAATGAATAAATAAATAAATAGAAGTTTATTGGAGGTAAAAGAAATAAAAAATTCTATATAATTATCTTTGACAGAATAAAATTTACAAAAAAGAGAACATTGATGAAAGTTGAAATTCATGATTGATAATGATATCTGATATGGAAAAAGAGAAGACTTCAATCTAGACATACATATATCAAGAGATTTAATGATAATATCTCGTATAATAGTATGACTAATTGATCAATGAATTTGTCATAATGGATATTTGAATTCGACAATTAAATGTTCTCGATCGTTTTTAGTCTAGAATTATTTTAATAGTTAATTAAGAAAGACATTTTAAAACTAATGTTCCTTGAAAAATTTTGAATAGATTCTAATTTGATTCATATCTTGTTTAAAAAGTTTTATTAACATTCTGCATAAAATCTCATTAATTTAAATAAGTTTTCAATGATGAAATCAATCAATTCAAATATTCTCTTTTTTCCTATATTAAAATTCAATTAATATGAAAAAAGAATTAAATGAATGATAGTATTACGTCATAGAATTCACCAGCTTGGTAGACTATACATATCATTTTCCTGATGAATTACATCATTAACACATAAACAATTTATAAACATCTGGTATAGATATTTTTCTCTTATTAATCATGACTAATAAAAACAATCATTGATTATGTTATTTGAAGTGTATTCAAAACAAAACTACTAGTAGTTTTGAATAATATATGCCGGACCAAAAAGAAAGGCCATTTTTTTTTATTGTCTTATAGCTCCCTCTTTCGTCTCTATACATTTTTTTCTATAAAAAAATATTTTCTCCAATGAACAAAGAAAAAAAGACGTAATGAAACAAATATATGTATGAATCAATACTAAATATGTTTGCCTTTATTTTTTTATTTATCGAATGATAATGTTTGTTTTGGTCGCTATTGACGTTCAAAAACATTATGCATCTTCATATAATTATTACGAATAATCAAGTTTTTCTTTTTATTATTACATCATATCAATGCATTCAATAGTCCTGTTTTTTCTTTCTATATTAAATCGATGAATGGTCATTGAAATCATTTTGACATGTATATACTTATATGTATGTATATATGTTCAATATGATCTTATCATCCGTAGACATTCATTGAGAGAGAAAAGGAGAGAAAAAAAGAATGAGACATGTCAGCATGTATATATCTTTGATCATACAATATTTCATTCATGAAGAGATGAGTAAAAGCATATATCAATCATTTATTGTAGATGGCTGCAATTAATGTATATCATACGAGTGTAACAACAGATAATCTTAGTCGTAATGATATTCTACAATGGATAAATTCAGCACTTGATGCTAATTATATGAAAATTGAAGATCTTTGTACCGGTAATTTAGTTTAAGTTTGTGTTTTTTCATAAAAATAAATCGAAAATTTTCATTTAATTAGGTGCTGCCTATTGTCAATTTATGGAAATGATGTTTCCAGGTAAATTTATTCATTATATGCATGTATAGATCTAACAATTAGTGATTACTTACATAAAATTTTTTTTTCTAGGCTCTATAGGTGCACGATCAAAACGGGTCAAATGGAATACCAAACTTGAGCATGAATATATTAATAATTTTAAACTTTTACAAGAATATTTTAAAGCACTCTCCGTAGAAAAGGTAGAATTTAATTTTTTGTAGATATAATACACAAACATACGCATACATACATTTTAATCTCTCTTTTCTTTGATGATTAGTGCTTTGCTCATAGTTTTAGTGTAGAACAAAGGAAAACGAAGAAATATTTGAATCTTTTTTATAGGTTCATTGATACTGAAAAGAGTGAAATTCAATGCCAAATTAGAACATGAAAATATACAAAATTTTAAAATTTTACAAAATGCATTTCGTGCTGTACAAGTAGATAAGGTGTGCATAAGAAAAAAAAAAAAACAAAAAGAGAGATTGTGTAAATATGTGTTTGTGTTTGATCATTTTCTTTTTTTGGTTAAAATTTAAAAAACAAAACAAAGGATAATTTTTTGCATAGGTTGTACCTGTCGAAAAATTGGTAAAAGGAAAATTTCAGGACAATTTTGAGTTTGTTCAATGGTTTAAGAAATTCTTTGATGCGAATTATACAGATTCTCATGATTATGATCCTGTCGCTGCTCGTGATGGACAGTAAGTTACAAAACTTTGCTGCATAACAGTTTTGATTGAGGTATTAATTTATTTTTTTTTATTTAGACCATTAGGTAGTGCTACGAAAGCTGTTGGTCCAGGAGCAACAAGTGGCTCGTCAGGTAGTCGTGTACCACCTGCTGCTGCTCGACCACCACCAACAAAAACTGTTGCTCCACCAGTAGCGCGACCAACAACTACCAGTAAGTTTATTTTAAAGAAAAAAGAAAATGAAAGATTTAATCGTTTATAAAACCGAGTAAATTAATTTTTGTTTTATCTTCTATGGTAGTCACAAAAAGAAAATATCTAAATTTTAGTTCTTTACTTTCATTGCAAATAGAGCATGTTAAATTTTCATTGCAAGGACTAATCCATACTTGATCGATAGTCATACGAAGAAGCTAGAAAGTTAACATAGAAGATAAATCTCATGAAGTTGAACTTTCTCATTCGATAGCTAAGTGTGATCTCTGTCACCGATAAAAGTTTCATGTCAAACGATTTTTGTTTGCCTGATTTATGAAGTAATCTTTGAATAATCGTAACATGAGAATTTATGGGAATCGTCGAAAAGTGACTGATATCTTCAGACTAATTTTAATGAGTCTTGAAATTTTCTCCAATGAATGCCATTCTCTAATCAAGTTTTCTCAGAAAACTTCACGATCACAGCCAAAGATGAGAGATTAAAAAGCTTTTTTTGAGTTCTAGGAAAAACCAGTGTTTTTATCATGCTGCTTTTACAGTAAGAATACCTTCTCCTCGATAGTGATACGGCCGGTTGAATTTGAATTCTTACCATAGCTAAAGTATCGAAAATGATGGAACTAATGTTCGAAGAAAAAGTTTTAAGAATAGGTCTTCAGAAAACATCGAGTCTGTTTACGACTTCGGTCTTACTTTCCCAGATTGGGCTGAGATTTTTTTTGAAGATACTTGACACTTTGTCTCAAGTGTTTTTAAGCTTTTGAAAAATATCGTTTTCTATTAGATAAGTACGGTATGCATTAGCCCAAAAATTTCAGTTCAATCAGACAAATTATGATCAGGGTCGTAAGCGTACTTAATGGTTTTTGAAGATCTCTTCAAAAACATTCTGAGAATGTGCTTTTAAAATTTTTTTCTGGAACATCGACTCCATCATTTTCGACAGCCTAGCTCAGAGCTGGGCAAAATACTCGAAGCACTCGTACTCGTATTTCAGAGGGTTGGTACTCGTACTCGAGAAAACCCGTACTTGCCCAGCTGTGGCCTAGCTATAGTAAACATTTGAGTTTAACCAGCTGTGCTCTCGTTGAGAGACGAAAGGCCTCTAAAAGAAGCGGAAGTATCCTTAAGCGCTTCTCGAGCTCGGGTTGATTCTTGGGATGAGAATTTTTCGAGCTCTATTTCTAGATAAAATTTCAAACAAAAGCATTGAAGTTTATGTACTTTTTACTCGGTAGTTAAACTTCTTGTGACTACTAAAAAATTGTTTTTCTTTTCGTTTCATTAGCAAAACCCATCCAACAACAACAACCAAAAATTTCTCCTGCAGTTCATCGAGCACCAGCACCACCCATACAACAACCTGCAGTTACTAATGATCATCATCAAAATGTACGAGTACACCAACCTACAACTGGTAATGATCATCATCAAAATGCACGATTACAACAAGAAGTAAAATTTTATTTAATAGAATTTATTTTAAATATAATTTTAATTAGATTGATCATTTACAAGACCTTATTCATCAACATGAATCTCAAGTAGCTGGTTTAGAAAAAGAACGTGATTTTTATTATCAAAAATTACGTGATGTTGAAATGATTTGTCAAGAACCCGAACATGAAACATCACCACCAATACAAAAAATTCTTGAAATACTTTACGCTACAGAAGTATGTAGAATAAAACTTTGAATTGATTGCATTTGTTTCTTTTTTTGAATCAATAATATATATATATATATGAATCTTAAATTATCAATATATATATATATATTTAAAGGCAGGTTTTGAGATCCCTGATGAAAACGAACATCAACAAACTGTCGAACAAGAATTTTAAGAAAAAAAATGAGGGGTGTGTTCATATACATGTTTGTTTGTGTGTTGTTTTTTGGGTATTTGTCACTTCTCTGATTTGGCTTGTTTTCTGTAAATGAATTTATATAGAAAATTCTTTAGTAAAATTATTTATTTATTTTAGGAAGGTTTTGCGCAACCAGATCAAGAAAATGGTAATGGTGATTTTGATGACGGAAATGGTCTTACTGTTGGTAATGGTAATGCTCCTAATTTTGTCGGTGGTGATGATGAGACATATTAAAACAACAACAATATTGATGTTTGGGAGTTTTCTTTTTTTCTTCTATTTGCATTCGTATCCTTCATGGTATTTCTTCTTCTTTAAAGTTCATTTCTTCTTTTCTTTTTTTCTTGTATGGTGTAATCATACTCAATTTTTAATATTTTACTTGTTTCTTTTTTTTTTTTGACAAAATAGATACGCGCATTTTCCTTCCTCTCGACTATTTGTATCTTTATGTATGTGCGTGTGTGTATGCAAATTAATACAACCAAATAAGAACATGTTTATTAAGTTTTGACAATAATGACATCTTTTCAATTCATTTGATCTTTTTCAGTGTATTTTATTAATGATAAATAGATGAAAAACTTGACATAGAAGAAACTTTCTGTTGCAATTGTAATGAATTTCATAGAATTTGTTGTCTATTTTAAAAATTAATTAAATTAGATCAAGATTATGGCATGAATAGATGTGAATTTTATTTGGTAGTGATTTGTTGTGTACATTATAAAAATTTTGAAGGGTTTTCGTAAAATCGATTGCTATAGCAAAAACTTGTTCGTTTACATATTTGAATTGTATAATTATCGAGAAGGGTTTCTTCTCGATTTAACAATTCGAATCATCATAATTTATAAATTATTCTTACATATTTGCACTCATATTGGTGTAATTTAGATTTCTAAGCTTGCAAAATAAAAGTAGAATTTAATGTAAAATCTCTTCTCACAATAGATGATCCTCTTAAATTAATCCATTAATCAAAAAACTGGAACTTTAATGAGTATTTTTACATAAATATATGTTTAGTTTTCCGAGTTTTGAGTTGAAAAACTGTAAAATACCCAGGTCAAAATCATTTTTAGGTGTTTAAAATCCTCCAAATATATCTTTCCATTCCCGGGGTCTTCTATTACAAAAAAGATCGAATTTCTATGAATTAAAATAAACACAACTTCAAACAAAAAGATTAGATAAGAAATCTGTAAACTCCGTATCTTTTTTAACAGATACATTCTTTTGTCATGAAACAAAAAAATTTATTTATTTTTCATAAGAAGAATTCGATTCTATATATTTATTTTAAAAAATCCTATCAAAATTTACAATGAATCATAAAACTAATTTTCTGGTGATGATGGTTGAGTATATCGAATAGTTCGATGATGATATCGTCGTTTTTCTTTTTCATTTGATAATATTGAACGATTTTGTGCTGTCGAACGTATTCTATTTAATTTCCATGCGAAACTAAATCGACTACTTAAACTTGTTTTATCACTCCAACAAACACTACTCTTTCTACTATGTGTAATAGAAAGATTATCATCAATAAATGGTATTGGTTCATCATCATGAAAACGTTCTTTCATAATTGTTTCAATATTACTATTAAAATATGATGTACGACTTGTTGGACCATGATGATATGATGTTGTTGATGGAGATAAATTTTCTATAAAATTTGTATTTGCTGCTTGTAAACTAACAGTTTCATTAATACATGTCGATAAATTCTGTTCATCATCTTCATTAGTTAATTGTTGTATTGGATATGAAATTAAAAAACTAATAATAAAAGAAAAATTCGAAAACAAAAATTTTCTTTTCATTAAATTATTAATTCTAATTTACCTATCATTGTTTTTAGTTGAAATGGTTTGTTTAGGTTTTTTTATACGTTTATTTTTATTGATTTTAGTTATTGATTGAGATCTAAAATATGCAAAAGAGTTTTGAATTAAATATATTGAGAAAGATGACAATTAAGATTATCATGTATTAGTTTTATCATTTGCATGAATATCAATTATAGATAGATAATTAAAAAAAAACATTTGTCATTAACGAACATATGTTTAAATCATTATGACCTTTTCGAAAAAAAAAAAAAGAAAAAAAAACACTTACGTTCTTCTCATAAAAATAGTAATTAGCATAAGAACAACAACGATAAGCACAATTAAAGCAAGTAAACAAACACCATATAACCAAATTGAATCTAATGAATTTTGTTCTAAAATATTTGACGGTAAATTAATCTAAAAGAAAATAAATTTTAAGATATTTCTTTTTTTGTCAATCAATATTTAAATTAATTATACATGATGTTTTATATCTTGATAAATTTCTTGTTGATTATGTTTTAGTGCAAGTAAAAATTGATCATTTGTTAAAGCTATTGTTTGACGATAAGGGTCTTTTATAAAAATTGATACATATAAATGATGATTATCTAATTGTTCTTCATAACTTTGTATAATAACATGATCAGTTCTTTTGTTAGAAAGAAAAGAGAAAAGAAAATATTTTAATTTAAAAATTAATAATAATTAACAAAAGAAAAAAAAAATACCTAATCGAATCTGTGTCTTCACTTAAACAATGTTCTTGATGTTTTAAACAAAATTTACGTATAATTTTTGCTATGCTTTGACGTAAATTACGATAAATTGCTTTTTCAAAATTTTCAATTGTCGTATTTTCAATAATCAATGTTACGCTACCATGAAATGCATATGGCCATAAATGATGGATTTTTGTATTATTCATTGACGTTGATATATGATCAAACCAGTTAGACTGGAATACATGTACAAAAAAAAAGAAAGAAGCTTGCTATATCATAAAGCGATAAAATACTTACACATGATTCATTGTACGTTTGACTTTTATTATTTTTATATGAGTTTGTGTCGATTATGAAACAATGATCTGAGCAAAAAAGAAGTAAATAATGAAAAAAGAAGTTTTACATAATTATTTTATTTTATATTTACTTACGAAAATTCTCATTTTTAAGTAATGTAGTTCGAATTTTATAACGTAATTTTATTGGATTTTTTGTTAATGATTCTAATTCTATTTTAATTTTTAAACTTCTAATTGAAAAACGTAAACCAATAAGAGACGATAATCCTTTTGTTATTATCAAAGATGAATTCAATAAAAAATAATCACTATGATTGACGTCTAAAAATAGAAAAAAAAACATAAATGACTATAAATAAATAAAATATTCAATGGTCATTAAATGAGCAATAAATCGACTACATTAGAAATGCATTTTACTTCTCTTTCACTTTTAACTGTCTCGACATATGAACAAAAGAGTATAATTATCGGTTTTTTTTTTCTTCTTTCTGTTTCTTGTACGATTGATGAGAAGAGAAGTGAGAGTATTGACACGTTACTTTTTACTATTGAAACATCATGAATCGTAATGAAAGGAGAAAGCGAGAAAGAGAAAGAGAGAGAAAAAAATATCTCCTATCCTAATACCTCTAATCAGAATACACGAAGTATCGTCATTAACTTAACATATGCAAACAAGAAAAAAAACCAAAAAATGCCGCTGGTCTATATCCACATACATGAGGATGTGTACTTTCTTTTCAACAACTCTAGATGGATCAATTGAAAGCCTTTTAAAAAAAACCATGAACTCTATAGATTCTTCCATAATAGTAGAAAGAGAATATATATAAAATGAAACAGAAGAGAAAATCTTGACATCTTGGTTAGTGAGTTTGATTAATAATAATGATCATCGTTTTAATTGTTTTAGATCTTAATGGTAAAAAAAAGAAAAATACTTTTTTTTGTTTGATCAGATTTATTCATTAAAAGAAATAAGTAATTTTGTTAAACATAATAATATTTTACATGAATAGAATAAATTTTAAAATAGAATAAATATTTTTTTATATCTTAAGTAGTTTGTTCGAATAATAGAAATAGAAATAAAAAAAGACACCTTGAAATTAAATGTATTTATTCTAGTGAAGTTCATATATAGACAAAATAATCATATGAATAAACAATTCAATGCAATATTGCAAAGTTTATACTTATTTCAACTAGTCATAGGGTGTTAATGCAGTTAGTTGCATCGTTTAGAAAGTAAATAAAGATAAACTTTCTTCGAACTATATAACTAATATCTTTACAATATAATCACGATAAAAATCAAACATATCTATTTAAATATATGATCTTTCAAACAATTCTTTTCACTGCTAAATCAATTATTTAACTAAACGTATTTCATAATAAAAAATAAAGTTTGACGATTTGTATTTAATTTAATACAATATGTTCTTGTAAAATGATACATCATTAAGATATACCGTTGATTCATTCGTTTCTTGTGATAGTATAGATATCTAACATGTACTAACACACAACATATTTTCACTAAGAATTTCAAAGAAAAGAATACAGAAAATTTATGATTGTTTATAATATTTTTCTAGAATTTCTATAAATAAAAATAAACAATTAAAACTATACCAGAATAAGATATAGTTATCACTCTTATACTTACATTTTAATTGTATGATTATCTTTCTCAATGTCACGGGAGCAATATTCGTATTACGGCCTACCTCATCTAAAGCATACACGACCAATTTTTGTTTGATCTTGATATTGAGCTTAAAGTAGTTCTTTATTAATGTCAATAACACGACAATTCATTAAATTTCTAACATCCTTCATTTTCAAGGCTTAATTAAATCTGAAGAGGATTCACGTTTTTATCTTTACTTCAAGTATTGTTTACTTTTACCCATATGTATTCTCTTTATACATTATTAACTCTTTACCATCTATTGAGTCATTTTTGATTTATTCATAGAGACTAGCTATTTGAAATAATAATGCATTGGATCGAGATGATTTCCGTACATTGAATGTAAACTTCAAGAAATTACAAATTCGAAAAAAAGTAAACTTTTATTCAGGTTTTTGATAGATTGATATATACTACTACGGGTACGGGTATAATCTTTCTCGCAAAACTTGGACTTTAAAGCTGATATTTACTATTTTCTTGAAAAAGATGTGTAAGTTCTACAAAAGTGCAATTTAGAACGGGTGTTCATATGATATTCGTTTCGAATTCTATCTTGTTTTACTAGTACCCGGGGATGATGCCCAGTGTGCATTTTCGTATGACAGGAGGCCATATGTGACTTTCTCGCTCGAAAACGTGTTTCTTTGCTCAGAAATGATCGGATACGACATAGAAAAGTCTTTTTAAGAAAGAACGACATTTTGTGAGAAAAAGTTTTTCAATGGAAAATATATTTCTCAGAAGTCAAACGTGCAAAATAAAGAATATTTTTTACCATTGTTTAGAACTTGGCTTGAAGATTCAGAAAATAGACTTAATTTGTCTGTTGAGCAGCTTGATTTTGTCGGATATCAATTTTCCTGATGACGTCATGATTTTCAGGGTAACTAGGATGACAAAGTTATTTATACTATTAGATAGACTATATTTAAATCTTGAATAGGCGCAATTTTTACTTTTAACTAATTGTTCGCATAGATGCACATTACTGGGAATAAAGGATTAAGTAGTTACAAAAAATCGGATGCTGCATAAAAAAATGAATTACAGAAAAAATTTTTAACTTACTTAAATCATATAAACGAATAAGTGTACCATTATCTGCATTGATTATAATAAAATCAATTAAATAAAAAGTTTTTGACGATATATGAATATTGTATGAAGCATAATTATTTGTTTCAAGTATATCGGCAGTTTTATTTAAGATTATATTTTTATTAGATTTGTTTTCTTGTTGTTCATAAAGAATTAGAATAAAATCTGAATTAATCGATTTATTTTGTGGTTTATAACGCATAACAAAATTTGAACTAGGAATATATATTGATGAATTATTCATTGAGATATTAACATTTGCTGTTGTTTCAACTAATAAATTATTACTTGAAGAAACTAAATGTGTTAAAAATATTGAATTGTTATATTGTCCATCAATAGTCCATTTAAAATCCTATGAATAAAGAAAAAGAAAAGATTTTGAAAAATAGAGAAATAAGAAAAAAAAAGTATTTTACTGATTGATTTTGTTTCCATGAAATATAATAAAAATCTCGAATATGAAAATATGTTTTTGATATTTTATATAGATTAAGACGAAATGAACGTTTTTGATTATAAATTGATAATGATAATGATTTATAAATAATTTGAAATGAAGATTTTAAAGAAAATAAAACATAACAAAAACGAGTTAATGATATTGTATCTAATAAATATGTTTGAGTAATATTTTCATCTGAAAATTTTCAAAAACTAATACTTGATTTTGATTACTTTTCGATAAAAATTTTTACCTTGACGAATAATTAATTCAGCTGGTATATTTCTATTGAAATTTTCAATATCAAAAATAATTATCGAACTATTATCCATAGAAACTGACCATTCAATATGAATAAATGGATGAATTGTTCTTGGTGGCATTAATACCATATGATTATCATTGAAAGTTATTTTATTAATCTTTGTAACTATTCAAAATAAACAAAAGTATATTAACAACTTAGACATATTATTAAATGAAATATTTAAAAAATTAATATTATTTCGCAATTATTAGTTTCAATGTTTATATCATAGTATCACACATCTCTTTCTGAATTCATATTAAAATAAAACAGTAATACAAGATTTCAGTAATATCAAGTATTAGATTTTAAAGACGTTAAATAAAATTACTGCATTATAGTCTTTTGCATAAATTCGAAAGAATAAATTCTCAGCAATGAAACATAGAGCAAAGTCTAGAGTGTATATACAACACTTTAGACTGCTCTCAAATAAGCTTTGTAATATTTAAAAATATTTATTGGACGATTAATACTAGTTCAAAGTATTCAAGCTGTAAACAAAATATACTGTTCGATAGAGTAGAAAAAAAATTGTATTTCAAAAAAATGTTCCATTCACATTATAAAGATATATTCGTAGTTAAGTTTAATTTGAATTTTGAAACAGAAAGAAAAAACTAGTTCAGCTAGATCCAATGTTTTAATTTAGAAGACTATTTCATCGCTAATTATCTATTAGATTACCATTCACTTTTTTCTCCTTATTAGATAATTTTCGAAAGATATTTTTTGATTCAAACAGATAAATTATATATATTAAATATTGGAGATATTTTATATTTACTTTTCTTATATTTTTCAATTCGAATATTATATTTAACTAATATCCAAGTGAATTCCGGTTCAATAGATATTATACATGATCCAATATGATGATATACAAATGGAAATTGTTCATTATTACATATTTGTGTTGTTTTAAATACATCTTTCACATAAAAACATAATCGTCGATCTTCAATAACTTCAAAAGCTTGAAAGACAATCCTAATAGATTCATCATCCAATGCTTTGATATGCCAAATATAAGTCTTTATAAGAGAAATAAATGTATATATAGACAGTGCTGGACACAAGTAGCTGCTTTTCTATGAAGCGCTACTATTATTTATGGTTTCGAATTAATATTTACAATGCATACGTCCAACAATAACCTCTGATTGCAACCATCAGCCCGCTCTTCATCAGTTCCCATGTACTGAAATTATGGTTCAAACATCGTCTTCCTCTTTTAATCACCTTATCTCAACCATGTTCGCACAAATATTTTCGTCTAAGCCCTTATTTGATAGACCACTGCTGCACCTATCTCTAGTTCAAATTTCGTTAGAAATCATAGAAAAAGCTGTTAGCGCAATCCCTTCGGGGATTGAAATGTGAAACACGACAAAACTGTTAGTTCTTATCAGATAAAGTATTGTTCTATCGATTTCTGGATTCTTTCTTTCATTATACTTTAATGCNTCAGTAAAAAAGCTCTATAAAGTTGAATACGAAAGAAAATTTTCTAAATACTTTGTGAGTTTTTGGTTGACTACCCATGAAACTACTCTGTAATATTCAGTACGAAAATTTATATATTTCAATCTTGTCGATGCATTTCATTACTAGCTTTGACTAGTGAGCTGAAACTTTCATAAATGGAAGATCATGATTAGATATATATGTAACAAAAAATTTATCATCGGTTATTATAGGACACTCTTTATATTTAACTTACCGACTAGATTGTTCACCAGTTCGATAAAGAAATGCATTGAGTGCTGCACGCATATCTTCTCCAATTTTTTCTGTTGCGCGTTTTCTTAAAAATGCATCAGCTTCATCAATAAATAACAAAAGACCACGACGACTTGTTTGTGACCAATCAAATACTTTATGTATTGCTGTAACTGCTTCACGACCTAATGGAGCTACATCACCACCTGTCATTATTGCATAATCAAGACCAGAATGATCTGCTAATTTCTATTTAGGAAACAAAAATTATGTTTTTCCTATTCAATCAAATCTACTAAATAAAATATTTACTTTAGCAAATAGAGTTTTTCCTATTAAGAAAAAAATAAATAAAATTATTATTCTTTTGTTCTTTCAAGGCAAAAAAAAAACTTTTCTTTTGTTTTGTTTCAATTACCTGTACCCGGTGGTCCATGCATAAGTAAATTTCTAAATAGACCATAATTTCGTTTTGTAAATCGTGTTGCAATAGCTATTTCACGTAAACGTGATTCAAGTGTTGGATCAAGTACTACACCTTGTAATGAATCTTCAGCTTTACTAAAAAAATAACGTCGCGCTGTTTTTATTGGTGAACGAAGTGCAGTAAGTAATGTTATTCGAGATGTTTCACGTATCAATGATGGTTTACCAAGACGTGAATCAAGATATTTAACAGCTGTTTGAGTTGCACCACGTGCTGAATAAACACCAAGAGCTAATAAAGTAATACCACCAGTCTATGAAAAACAAAAATCAAGCAATTCTTTCATATAAAATACGTTAAGACATACAGCCATAAGAATTTTACTTGGATTTTCAAGTAAAGTTGTTATACCAGTTCCAACAACAGTACCTGCTGTTTTAATACTTTCAAGAACAGTTTTACGTTGTTCTTCGGCTTTAAGTTTAATTTGTTCTAAATAAATTTCACGATTTTCTCGTTCGATTTGTGCTTTGCCTTTTAATTCAGCTTCAAGTCGCTTCATTTCATATTGATGACGAACTTGTTCAGCATATTCAATTGAACCTTGAAAAAAAACAACAATAATAATAATGATTTTTAAGCGATCAATGGAGAAATATTTTCAAAAAAAACCCGACAAACTAACGTTGTTTCATTTCTTCTTGCTTTCGAACAGAATCTTCTTGTCGACGACGTTCTTCATCTTGTAAACGAGCCTAAATATCAAAGAATCATAGTTGTCGTATGAAACATAAACATTTAATATTACTTGTTCACCAGCTTGATCTTGCATTCGTTTACGTGCTAATTGATCTTGAAATTTTGCTCTCTAGATACATGACTATTAACAATAGAAAATGATAAAATTGAAAATTTATACTTCATTTTGATGATGAGTTTCTTCATTCATCATTCGTCGTTTTTCTTCATTTAATTGTTGTTGATGTTTAAAACGAATTTCTTCTTCATGTTGAGAATATTCCTAATCAATGAAAATTAAATTTCATTTTCTAGCGATGTGATTTTGCAACATAACAACGCTTTTATATCTAGGCTAGAACAGTGTTTCTTTATTAATAATTTTTATGAAATAGATGTATGTTGAGTTACTCTAGATACCTTAAAATATTCGCGAGACAACCCTCTTCAGCTTCTCCGTTCCAATGTTAATAATTTTATGCCTCTGGGTACTACATAGGGTTCTGATTAAAATACTAAAAAGATTTTGATTCCTTTAACGATTTGACTAAGCTATCAAATTTTCAACTGAAACTTTGTGCATATAGAGAACTCAGCTAGACTAGTTTTTGTAAAAGAAAACTCTCTATAACATGAAACTTTTCAGAAAGGTTTTTTAAGAAAACTATACTAGTTGCGTACTCGATGTACGTAAAATTTCAGATTAAAATTCGAAAGCATGAGTTTTCCGAAAACCTGACACTTCTAGAAAATACACATTATGACAAGCTTGCTGGCTAAGTCAAATATTAATAGGAACTCAAATCTTTTTAGGATTTTTATTAGAACACTAAGTAGTAGCTAAAGACAGAAAAGTCATTGAAATAGAAAGGTGAGCAGCTGAAGAAATTGCCTAGTCAGTTCCATAGACCTTGGTTTTGCCAAGTTATTATTGAACAGCCAGAGTTAGCAATATCGCACAAAAAAGGATAAAAGTTTTCAGCAAGAACACTTGCAAATCCTGAAAGTTCAAAGAGTATTTTTGAAAATTGTTTAGTACACTTTGTAGAGAATTCTCCATGCTACAAGGTCTCTATGAACAGTTTTTCTTGAACATGCGTAGATTTTTCAAAATATTGAATTAACTCGTTGTCAATGATGTGAGTAAGTATGAAAATAGAAACGAAAACTCTTGTATTTGATATGAGAAGTCGCAAACCCAATTCTAAATGATACAAGTCTTTCTTGATAGTCACGATATGATAGCAAAACAAAAATTTTCGTTCCAGAATAAAAACAGATCTCTGAAAAATCGATTTTTTGCATTCGTCATAAGTTTAAGAATTATGTTTATATTGATGGGAAAAGAACTTGTTGGAAACAATAATCCTTAAATAGAATCAGAGTCCAACTCAAGTTGATCATGCTCCATTTTCAATGATTTTATTCATGGACATGTCATTCATTTAAATTATGAATATTTACTTTCATTTCTTTTTGTATTTCAAGTTGTTTCGTTTGTTCTTGCATTTTAACAACATCAAATGCTTGATTAGCATATTCTTAAATGAAAAATACTTTTACAAAGATATGTTTTAATAAATTGATAGATCTTACGTGAACGTTCAAGTTCTTTCGCTGCTTTGGCTGCTCGTTCAAGAGCACTCGAATCAAATTTATAGATAGATTCATGACCAGCGAAACCTTTAGAATCAGTATTGATTCCTGACGATTTTCCATTCTCATTATTATTCGATGAAGATGATGATGAATCTCCACTACCACCGAAACCTTGGGGTGGAACATTCGATACCGGTTTTTTATAACCAAATAACCACGACATCTAAAAATGACATAAAGTACAATTAAACAAATGGAACACGTACACTTTATTCACATTTATCACAGTACCCTAGCTCTCACGTCGTGTTACGTGTGTAAATTACGTCGATGAGTATAAAACGTGTGATTGAAGCGAACTCGTGTCGTGCAAAATCTTTAGCTAGATTCTACTAGATTTTACAAAATGGTAAAATGCGCTGATGCAATGTATAAATTGATTGATGTTTACTATTGATAATTAAAAAATTTGAGTTTTTTTATTTCTATTTTCGAAGCATATTGATTTTAAATAAATTAATTTTGCCAATCATTATTGATTGATTGAAATTATTTATATAATTGAATTCTCATTTCATACTGGTTCATAAATAGCAAATTAAGATTCATGATATAAGGCGTCCTCTACAAAAGTCATTTTTATGAATTATATTTTTTATAGTTTTACATTTCGATTAGTATTCAATCATTAAAATATAATAAAATAAAAGATAATTTTTTTTTCTTTCGCAAAATAATTGACTAGAAAAATAAATTCCATCAAAAGGAAGCTGCAATTCTGATCAACATGGCTGAATAAAATATCAACTGACGCAATTTGATTGGTTTGTGTTTTTTCTCTTTTACAAGAAGTTCATCATATATGTTTCTGTCTCAAACGTTAACTATAAATAATGATAATGATGGTGTTTATTTCTTTTAGATTGTGTATCATTTCAATTCTTTCTTTATTTGTGGTTGTATTTTTTCATTCGATCAATTAAACAATGCCAACAAAACTTTATATTGGTAATGTGCCTCCAACAGTGAGTTCAACTGAATTAAAGGAATTATTTGAAAAATATGGCAAAGTACTTGAATGTGACATTGTTAAAGATTATGCATTTGTTGTAAGTATTTTGTTTTATGAAAGAAATTTTCTATGCTAATTTTTGTTTTAGCATATGGAAGATGCAAGTAAAGCTAAAGCATCTATAGCAGCTTTAAATGATTTTAATTTAAAAGGAAGTCGTATTAGAGTTGAAGTATGTATTGATTTTTAAAGCAAAAATGTTTTTATGTTTTTGTTTTGTTATAGATATCAACAACACAACTTCGAAATTCGGGTCGTCCATCGTAAGAATTTGTAGAATGTTTGTTTTTCCTTTAAATGTTATTTTTTATATTTCTAAACTATAGTCGTCGAGGAGGATCACCACGTTATGATTCAGGTTCAATGCCAATGCGATCATCACGGTTAGTTGAGTTTGACTTTTTTTTTTTTGAATATATAAATAAATTTTTGTTATTTTTTTTACTTTTAAGAAATCGAGATATGCCAATGATGTCATCAAGTCGTAATGGTAATTATTCAGGTGGCGGCGGTCCCGATCGATCGTATCCGAGTATGCGTAATAGCTACATGGACGCACGATCTCGTCCGTACGATTCACCTTATGAACGTCAACGTATACCACCACATTTACCACCAATGAATTATCCGGATCCGTACAGTCGTCCTGGTGGTGATCCGTACAGTATGCGTAGTGGTGGTGTTGATCCCTATGGTCGTGATGATTTTTATCATCATCGAGGACCACCAATGCCGATTGCTGATCATTATGGACGTGGACCACCGATGCGGTATGTCGTTATTCGTACATATTAGAATTGATAAAAAAAAGAAAGATTTTTATATCGAAAATCGTCGATCTCTATTGGCTTTCTTTTTCTTTATTCAAATCTCGTTTATGTATCTCTCTCTCTATATATATATATTCGTTCGTTCAAACGTCCCCATTGGTCGTACTCCGTTTCAGGTCTCCTTACGATGCCTACGCTGCATATCCATCTGGACCGAATTCAATGGGACCACCACGAAGGTAAGCAAGATATCTATAAAACAAAAGATTACGTTAAGTTCGTATATATATATATAAATAATTGGAAAATCTGGTCGAATTGCTTTATTTTTCATGAGACTTGCATATAAACAACAGAGAGAGGAATGAAAAAAAGATAAAATAAAGGAACAGGAAATCGAACATATCGTTCTTCGTATTTATATACTCTTACATTAGTCGTTATGCTGCTTCACCTCCATCATCACGTAATGGATCTGGTCGTTATGGATCATCACCACGATCATCATCATCATCTCGTCGTCCAGCAAGAAGATCACCGCCGCCACCACCTTCAAGTTCATCACGATCACGTCGATAGAAAAAAAAATTTATTATGGTTATGGAATTGTTATTATTTTGAACAAAAAACAAAAAAAAAAACTAAAACATATTTTCATCTTGAACTTTTTCTTCGTACACTTTCTCAGAGCCAAATGAAACAAAGAATTATGTAAAAACAAACATAATACTGATCTGTTTCATCAATCAGTCAGACTGAGATTATATTGTATATAAAGTTAAAATTTCGTTTTTTTTTCTTTTCCTTTTTTTTCTTCTGAATTGTAAGTGAGACAAATTAACCTGTTGTCTTTTCCCTTTTTTTTCTTTTGTTCTTTATTGATTTCCCCTACTGTTTGTTGTATGTGTGTCTTGGTCTATGTACGAGTGACAAAAGAAAAAGAAAAGGTCTATTTGATTTACAATGAAAACCTTAGACATCAGATTTCTTTTCAAAGATTTATAAACTAATCAAATCAATATCAATCTCAAATTCGTAGCATACAATTGAATATTGTGTTTTTTTTTCGGTTAAATTTTAAAAAAGAGTTTCAACAACTGATCTAACATTTTTAAGTGTTATATCGTGTTTGAGTCGAGATTTTGCATCATGTAGGTTCTAATGAACTATACATAATGTTCGAGTTGATAGCCTATTGCTTTTGAGACACTATTATTTAGCAGAATACCAAGGTACCCTCTCAGGAAAACTAAGTTTTTAATTTCGACTTGAACTCTTTACATAGAGATACGTCTTAATTAGAATAGTTTATTGTAAAAATCTCAGATCTTTTGATTGTTTCCTAAGATTAGGCGCATTTTAAAAGTCAGCAACTCATGAGGGAACATATATTCTTAAGTGTTCGATCGCATTTTGACCACAACTTTAGTCAGGTAAAACGTCATAATGAGTATCGTAAAAGCCTAGGAGGATTTGACTGTCTGAGCCTTTGATCTTGAAATATCGAATTTTCACTTCATTTTTTAACAAAAAACTGTGGTTCCTCTCAAGCCACCATAAAAACCAAATTTCGAACCTCGATGACAGTATCTCATTGTAAAAATTCCACTGATTTTTGGATCTCCTACTCTAAGATATACGTAGTGAAAAATAACACAAGCAATCATTCTTCTTTAATCTCATATCTTAGGACATTAAACATTTCAATTAATGAAATTTTCACAATGACCTAGTGTCACTGAGAGCTTCATTTGCGCAGAGTTTCAAGTCGAAATTCGATTTGCATGGTAACTTGAGTAGGACCACAACTTTTTGTTGAAAGATGCAGTAAAAATTCATCATCTCAAGAATAAACCCTTAGACAACCGAATCCTCTTAGGCTTTTACACTGCTTATCATGACCTATTACTTGAATATAGTTTCGATCAAAAAGTGATCGGACACTAAAGGATGTTCCCTCGTAAACTTACAAATAATTAATCAAGTAAAAGTTTGAATGTCATATGTTGATTTATTTTATTGGTGCTATTATAGCTCATTATGATTTCTCGTCAAATTATTTTTTCTATTACATCGAAATCAATCCACTTTCTACCAAAAATCAGCAGTTATATTTTTTTTACTAAGCAACTTCCATCAAAAAATAAGAAAACTGAAAAATTTACAAAAAAAGACGCAAACAAAATATCTATTTACAAATAATCAGTAAATGAGATGTTATACTAATCAAAGTCGATTATTCAGATAAGTCTTGTCTTGTAATATTAATACTATTCTTATGTTATAATACAATATTAAATGACATTTTCCAACGATCATAACTACCTTTCAATATTATACGGTATATAACGATCATTATTTCTTCTTGTATGATCAACGATTAATTCTATTTCTATTGGTGCTTATCATATTGAAGAATAAAATATTTTCTATTTTTGTTATCAATAATTAGTACCAATGTATAGCTAAGAGAATGGCAGTAAAGAAAAATAAAAGATCATGATTTTTTTTGGTTGATTTGTGTTTTAGTTTTACACCTATCTATGAAACTCATTTCGATACAAAATTTCGTTTTATCTGATGATCTTGATTATCACAGATTTAAATAATGATTTCGATAGTTCTCAGAGCAGTCTACAGAATGGAGTTGTGAACAATTTTTAGAGCATAGATATTTTAGTTTTATTACATAAAAAAATTTTCTTCAGCAGAAAAAAACTTTACCACCTTTTCAGTATCGACTCAGTGTATTTTCGTTATTCAACAATCACTGAAAGGTGTCTTATGTACTGTTCAGTGCAGAATTTAACGGACTACATTTTGGTATAAAGTACTAAATTTTAAGATTGGAATCAATTATTATTTAGTAATAGTTAATAATTAATTAGTTAAGTTTCGTTCTGTTTTGTTTTCAACTATCAGATATCTCATGAGAAAGAGTATTGAAACTTGATCAAAATTATGTAATTATGAGTTCAAAATAAGACACGATGTCAAAAAGTAATCGAACAAAGGTCGGACTCCATTTTCTCTTCGATAGAAAGGTGTTGAAAGAAAACTTTATTTATTAGAAGATACAGAATTTTCTTCTTTTTCCAACCTTATTTAACTTAATTTTATTATCGAGAAGAAAGATAAACACCCACACGAGCTTGCAATTTTACATTTGTTCATCATATAAATCATGTAAAACTACAGTTAGTTATTTTATAAAGAACGACATTCTAAGAATAACGATTTATAACAAATTAAACAAATATTTTAAATATGAGTAAACCGATTCTATTATAAAGGAGTCGTTGTCCAGTAAAACTATCTAATCAAAAATTAAATCAACTGATAAAATCTGTTAATAATCGTTGTGGTATCAGTCAACACAAATCAATTAACAATCACCCATAACTTACGAAAAACAACGTCAGTTATTATTAGAAAACGTCGAAGGACTTCTACGATGATCCACAAAACTCAACACGAGAAAATCAAAAAAGACTAGAAAGCTATAAAAAAATTATCCCTCATGCTTGTGATATTATTTAAATGATGAAAAACAGTTATAAAAACAATTAATTTATATACAAGTCAAAATAGAAGAAAATTTTCTATCAGCTAGTACATAAAAAATATTGCTCAAACATGTGCTTACTAAAGAGATATAGAGCTTGATGTTTTATATCATTATTCTAAATAATATGAAAAGTGTGGGCTCATTTAGAGGCTGCTTCTTTTCTTCTTGCAACATTTCATTTATGAACATCTGGTAAAACTGAGTTATATATGTTTCGAAAGGAAAACAAAATCTTTATCTTTTGTCTAATAATGTTATATTTCAGTACCTTTCTATCAAAGAGAAATAGGGTACGACATGTGTCTCATTACTTTTGTATAATATGTTGGATGATCTTAAGAAAGTTTTCTGGTCATACTGCTAATTGCTTATAAAAAAATCAACTGTGAAACAGAACACTACATTTGGAAAAACTAGCATGCTTTTAAGAATAGGACTTGTTCTTTCGAACAATACATAGTTGATGTTTTTATAAGCAATTATTGCTTAAATTCCAACATTACATATTACAGTTTTATTATTTCTAATTGAATTCTTTATTTTCTTAACTGTTATATAGACTGACTCTGTCGTTATATGAACGTATATTTCATTCTGCAAATAGCACAGAATTGTGATTCTTCAGACGAATGATTTGATAATTGTCTATATTTATTAAGGTTTTTATTATGTTTTGTGAAAAACTCATTTTTCATTAGAAAGTTAGCCACAGACAAAACAAAAACAAATTGTAAAAACCTGTTCTTAGCGTATTTTAGAGAAAAAAATTCTCATTTCAAATAATCTAATGATCAAAATTTTAGTGAAAAACAGGATTTGTTTTCTTTTTAAATACTTTAAAACATTTGAAACGCATGATTTCATTCAATGTACGTTTTAATTTACAGAATCTTTCTTCTTCTTTGTTTCATCTCCGATTTCTTCCATAACTATATTTGTTGATCCTCATTGCATGCTGTGTTTTTCTGACGAAAGAATTTTTTTTCATCATTGTTGGGTTGCCCATACACCCCATATATAAGAACATTCACTGCTCACACAGAATCGACAAGAAGAAAAAAAAAATTTTCTGCTGTTTTATATTGAAAGTGCTTCAGACTACAAGAGGAGGAAAGGGCAAAAACGACGAGGAAAAAAGAAAAAGAAAAATAGGTTTTTCTGCTAATTTCCCCGTTATTTTGTTCATGCCATTCGTCACACTATTGGAGAAAACATTACATATATAAAAATAGAATGATCACGTTATATAGTTTATCAACATTAACAACAGCAGTAATAGTGTTGATTATATGTAAAAATGTTCAAGGAACAGATTGGATTGATTATCCTGAACCATCATCAAATGTTGATACGACATTTGATGATGATTCTGATCAATATTTAAGCGCATTAACACGTGATGAAGAACAAGAAATACATAGTCCATTTATAACCGGTTATAAATATGTATCAGGTACTAATCAACAATTTTAAATAATAAGAAATTTTAGGCAATTTTTTATGTTTAGGTGGAGCAGGTGAAGGTCGACAACATCTTAGTCCTAGTGGCCAAATACCAAATCGTCTTGAAGTAAAAACTGACGAACAGCTACCATCGTATTGTGATCCACCTAATCCATGTCCATTAGGTTTTGAAGGTAAAATTAAACACAATAAAAAAATATATTGTAAATTATTTATGCATATATATTTATAGCGGATGATTGTGACGCATCACCAATGTCTAAATTTACAGCTGAATACAGTAGATTATATCAAGCTCACCAAGATTGCCAATGTGACAATGATCATGATGAATGTTTCTTGAATAGTATTTTGGTAAATAGAACATTTCGTTTATTCAAATCACTTTTCTGTTCTGTTTCTTTTTTTTCTTAGTATACTGTTCCACCACATAGTTCATCAAGTGGTATTTTAAAACGTGCTCGACGAATTCGACGAGTATGTTATTTCTTTTCTTTTTCCTGGTCGAACAAAAAGAAAAGAATATCTATTTTAGGATACTGATCATCGAAAACAAGCAGAAAACGATACAAAACATCATTTACAACGTAATCCATTCCATAAAGGACACACATTACGATTCCATGTTGCTAAAAAATCTCCAATTAGTATGACATCATAAATTTTATAATATCCATGTATCTAATTCAATGAAAATACAATATTCAACTGCATTGAGAATACAATAAAACCTGAAGAAGAGAAAGAAACAGAAGATGAGATATTAGTAGTTATTTTTCGTTTGAAATATATATTCGTATGAGATTTGAATGTAAATCATTATTCCATTACGATGAAATCCTTTACTATTTTTTTGTCCTTAATTCATTTAATAAGATCAATAAAGAATCTTCTTCTTCATAGAAATAAAACTCAAATATATTACCTTAATGTATTTATTGCACAAAATGATTCTGGAAGTATTACTTGAAACCAAAAGCAATCGTATAAATATTATAACATGAAACATAATAGAGTTTTAGATCTAATGTTTCAACATTGGTTTTTTCATAGTAAATAGAAGACTTGTACAAATTTATTTGTGATTGTTAGTCAAGTGTTGAGAATGTATAATAAATTTGTTTAGTAATATTGATAATAGAAATGTACAAGTTGCAGTGTTACATTAATTCGCTACGAAGCAGTGGTAAAATTTTCAGTGGCGAACCATCACGAAATTTTATCTTTTTTCTTGTCTCCAGATCAAATTATTCTTTTCTAAAGATTACACCGAAAAATCTATAAAAATGAATAATTGTCATTAACGTTTTTTCTTTTGAAAAAGTCTATAAATATTTTATTTGATGCTACAGAAATGTAATAATGATAATGTCATATATTCATGACGAAGAATATGAAGTCTTGATACACTAGGAAACAACATTGTTATGTTGTATACAATCGTATTTTGATTGTTCATATAGTCAATTATTCTTATTATATATCTCCATGATTGTATACAGAATATAATGCTGAATCATGTAAACTATCGAATCTTTCCACGTACGGTTGTTCACAATCATATTTGTTTAATTTGCATACTTGAAAAATTGACAAAAAAGATCTTCTATTAAAGCACATTTTTGACAAAGCTAAGTGGGAGTGTGGTGAGGTGTAAGGATAAATTTTTAGCTGCTGCATAGATGATTTGATTTGTATAGAAAAAGATGCATATTGACATTTTAAACCTACGATTAATTTTATGAATGAAAATTTATTGACGATCTATGTACAAAAACTTTAAAATACCATTTGATAGAACTTATGAATACAACTTTAATCAAATTTCTAAAGAGATTACATCGAAATTGTGTTTTGTTGTTCATGAAGTTTCATGAATTGAACCACACCAACAACCGAACCCAGTAATAGTATCCTACGAGAACATTGTTTTCCGTTATTCACGCCCCCTTTTCCAACGGAAATCGGAAACGATATTATAAAATGAACGTTATTCAGATTTTCTTGTAATATATAATTATTGTTGTATTCTCATCGTAAATGTTTTCGGTTTTTCATCGATGTTGTTGATGTGTCAATATTTTTTTTTGTCTTTTCGATTGTTCAATCTATGAATGAAATCATTCGCTTAATGTAACATTAATAAATTTTGACATATAAATAATACTTGATTTATTGTACTAAAATGTACCTTCAATGATAATATTATTTTTAATTTAAGGCTGTCTCACGTTGCGAAAAGTGCGACGTTGATAGAAGCTAGTATTTGATAGCAATAGTTTTTCTCAAACACAAAGACGGAAATTGTAATAGGAATTCTTTAAGCATCAGGGAAGTGTAAATCCAGAAAACTTATTCCCGTACGACACTACTCAATTATGAACCACATCAACTATGAATGATTCTTTTTCTTTTATCTCTAGTTTTCATACGAGGTCTTTTATTATTTTAACTTGACCATTAAAAAACAGGACAATTAAACAAAAGTTGGATTTTTAAAGCGTATCATACATGTTTTGATTGGTAAGATAGATACAGTATTCCTATTTGTTTGAACTAAAATACTTCTACGAAATAATAAATCTATCCTGAATGCAAATGATATATATTGTTGAAATATTATACATTATCTAAACTTCATTCTCTGTTTTTTTGAATTAGGTCATCACGAGTTCTGTTATTTCTTAAAAGTTTTTGTGTACAAATGGAATAAGATCTTAATGAACTGACATCAATGCAGTTGTGTACTGCTGAGATATTTTCATTTTGCAACGTTCTGAGAGTGCAAAACAATTTAAAATTTTTTTTTTTTATCAAGTTTTTTTCATTAGATTTTAAGAAACTCGGAAAACAGAATTAATAAATAGTTTTGTCGGATTAAATATTTAATACACTAAAAATATAATCTAATATATTACGCAAAAATACGAATAAAATTTATGTCAAAAATAAAATTTGCAATAAAATGATGACGACTTTAGAATATTGTTCACAAATAAAACAAAAACAACTGCATACAAAGAATTAATTAATACTGCCATGTTCAATAAAAATCTTTTGCGCTTTTATTGAAATGGTATCGATTATTTTTGTTATCCATGTAATGATATAATTAGTATTGTTAAACATGACATCACAATCAAAAGTACGTGATTTCGTCATTACAGGTATTTCAACAAAATTTCCCTATCCAAATCCTTATGGAACTTTAACAAATGAACAAAATCGATTTTCTCAACAATCTAATGGATGTTTTTTTGACCCACATTGTCCTGAATGTATTCGTGAATTATGGGGACCACTATTATCACCATTTGCCTATTTAATTAAACAAAATGCGGAATATTTCAATGAAATTATCATGCGAATTGGACAATATAAAGTAAATGCAAAATCAAATTCTTCTCCAAAAGTATCATTAGAGCCACCTAAACTTGAATATAATGATCATAAATTTTTAACAACAATTGGTATGTGTGCATTTCGTACATCAAAAGTTGGTTGGTTAATGACTTGGGTAAGAATGACATAGACTAATTGAAGTTTACTAAAAAGTTTTCCTTATTAGACACTTGGCTTTTTATTATTGATATTAGCTATTGCTATACTTGTATTAAAAGATTCATCTATTTCACCTATTATTGTTATTTTACGTATGAATGAAGCAGCTGAATGGGGTATGAAAATTACACTTCAACTAGTAATTTTAAATTTTTTAAATTTAATTCAAATATTCATTTTCCATATTTTTTTTGTAGTGTTTTATTATAATTTCATTGATTGGAATATTTAAGATGTTAGCATCTTTACTCGGTCTAGTTGGAACTGCACATCGAACTCAAAGTATTATGCTAGGAGTGAGTTTTATTAATTTATAATTATCTATATGATATAAACTTATTTTCTAGAGATTAGACTTTAATATTTCTTAGTATACTCATTTTATTTGAAATTGGTGCAGCCATTTATTGTGCTATTGAATGGTCAGAAGTAAGCTAGTTTTAATTAACAAAAAAAAATTTTTTTTTTTTAAATCTATATTCATTTTTAGCTTATATCAGATATGGAAAAAGCATTAACAAATTCTTTTCAGAGGCACTATGGTGGTGTAGACAGCGATAGAATAACAGATGCTTGGGATCGAATTTTTCAAACTGTAAAACTATGAAGCTCAATAAATAAGATTACTCTTCTTTTTTATTATTTTTCTTTTAGTATGAATGTTGTGGATGGTTGAGCAATGATTTTACTAATACACCATGGAGTCCACCTGCATTAAATACTATACCACATTCATGTTGTCGTCCAGGTTAACTTATATGAAAAAAAAATTGTTGGCGCTATTCCTGTGAGACTAAGATTGGAAACACGAAGTAGCTGATCTTGCTAATCAAAGAGAGATGACTTTATTCTATCTATTTTCGAACACATATCTTAATCATCTTTTTGCTTAATCCTCTAGAAGTTCTATGATGAAATAGTTCATATATTAGAACTAGACGTTATTGATATACGGTCTTTGATCGAATACTAGCAACATCTTACACGGTCAGTGCTGGATTTCCAATTTATTTTTTGACGTGTTGCTGTTTTCTTTCACTGCATGGTTTTACTGATTGTTTATACATGATGTTTTAACCTTCTCTTGTCTTCTTCTTTCTTACATAAGAGCGTTTCTTTAATTAGTTTATTGTTTACATCTTCTCCGTCTATCTCTCGCTCAATTTATATGTAAACAGTAGATGATTAAACTAAAACTGTTACACTAAAGAATCTGTCAAGATTTGTGAGGAACAAGTCCAAATTTCTACCTTACGTATTGCATACACCTTTCAGATCGTGTTTCGCAAAACTGAATGAATCCTAAAAATATTCATTTTCAATAGGTGCATCTCATCCTGGATGTGAATCAATTATTGCTGCATCAGCTGAAAACTATGCTGATCGAGTATTTAATCTATAAACGATATTTTTATTTTTTTTTTCTCTAAATGAATTTTTTCAAATAGGAGTGCTCGGATGCTATTCGACAAACAATAAATTCCAATGCTTATGTACCAATTATGTTTTCTGCTATAGGTTTTCTTATTTTTATTGAGGTAATTTAAGAAAAAAAAAATTAATCTTTAATTTTTTCAACAAAATATAATTTCAATTAGATTGCATCTGTTGTTTTCACATATTTATATTCGTCAACATTAAAAACTGCTAGTCGTCGTCGTCGTAGTCATAATGAAAGATTATTACAAAGTTTTCAAGGACGACTTGCTTCTTATACTGAAGAAACTGTTAATGAGAAACCTCCAGATTTAAAACAAATTCTTCCTCAACAAGGACAAACTGAAATTGATGATCTTCATCAATTATACAATCAATATACAGCATTTCATCAAACTCCACCAAATATTGATCCATCATTAATGTCCATAACACCAACAGTTATTCAAGTAAAACGACCAAATGTTTATTCATATTTTTACTACGAGTAAAAATATCTTTACTTTTTTGTTTCTTGTTTTTCTTTGTATTAAAGCATAGACAAAAGAAGAAAAAAAAATAAGGAATCGAAAACGTAAAGTAGTTTTGTTTCTTGCTTTAGAATAATATGCACAGAGCAGAGAAAAGAAAGCCGTAAATACATAGGAGACAGAAGAAAAACGAAACAAAAAAGTACAATCAGGTCGACAAACGAACGCGACTAGAGACCGTCAAAAGAAAAAAAACCAAAATGTGTCTAGATTCCCAATCGATTATCCCACTGTTCGCTAGCTTTCTTTGACTTTTTTGTCCATTCATAAGAATCCAGATAGACTAGGAGTTATACATGCACAAAACCGGGATCGAAAAAGAAACGTACAGTTGCGATATTTTCAAATACAATAGATATGCTAGATAAGCAGAGAGAGAAGACAAAAAAAGACAAGCGGAAGGCATGTAGACCTGAGGTAACAATGTTACATAAAAATAATATATAGACAAAACTAAAGAACAAAAACAAAAATCTTAATCTGTTGGATCGCCTGTATCAGAAAATGGGATCATATTTTCAAGTGAATAATTTGTTTGTGATGGACGTGTAGCAATATTACTACTACAACTCGATGATGTCAATGAATCAGTTGTATCACCAATACCACCTAAATAGCAAAAACTTATTATTGACAATAAAATCATTTATGTCAACATACTATTTTTTAATGATATATCAACAGCAGCATCAGCTAATTTTTCAACAAGGTCAATTTCAATATCCGATTGTAAACTATCAAATGAATTTCCATATATACTTAATGATGGTGCATCCTAAAAAAATAAGAATTCAAATTAATCAAAAAATGAAAAACTGATTATAACTTTTTTGATGATTGTTAACTATAGAAAATAATACATGTAGACTTCTAGAGAAAAACTTTCTCTGTCTAATAATGCATGCATTATCAAGTTCTACTTTGTACTGCTGATATATCCGATAGGTGACATCGTTATCGCAACAACGGAGTTCGTCGGGTTGGTTCCGGACACAAAAACTTTGAACTCGATGGGCTCTACGCAGCAGCTACGATAGAATGCAAGAAAAGCGGCATCATGCATTGACATGTTAACAGTAAGTTGTAGAACTAAATACTGCATACCGAAGATGAGATCGGTTCGATCCGGTTTAAATTTACAAAAACTCAAGTGATCTTATGTCTGCTAAATATATTATTGACAGACGAAGTCTTTTTCTACAAGCTTATACCATTCCATAGTCAAAACCATTATAGTTGCCTTTTGTTTTATCTTACTTGAAAACTACCAGAACCAACTTCAATATAAGCAGGTGCAACATCTTTATGTAGATTTAGTAGTTGAACGGGTGGTGATTTTGACCATTGTATTCTATAGAAATTTATTCTTTTTTAACAGAAAAAAAAATAATTTGAAAAACTTACGGTAAACTTTTTAAATCAGCATCAACAATATTCATTGATGTTTGAGGTGAATCAGCTGTGATTACATTTGAATTTGGATGACAAATACTAACTGTTGCTTCCGAATAATGTTTAAATTGAAATTGTGGACCCATCCATAAGCGACGATGGGGACCAATACATGTATTTATTTCAACCTAGAAGTAATTAATTATATATTTTTTTTTTGCTAAGAAAACTATTTTACTTGTCGAAGCCAATCATCATTTGAATGGACTTTATTTGCTGATGTTGGTCGATGTCCTTGAGATAAAAATGCATTGGCAACTGACATACGAACTTCAGGCCATGTTGTTAATCTAAACAAACAAAACAACAGATATTTAATCGATTTTTTGTTTTTGTATATGAATATTATTACTTTTGAAGTGGCCATTGAGCTTTTGGAGAAGTTTTAAGAGCAAGTGGAGTTTCCGGTGTAACACGTGCACCATGCTTACTTGTATCTAAAAAATCAAATGATGCTTTTATTTTCGTTTGAAATATGTAAGAAAACAATTATTTACCGGGTACAGATTCAAGCACATATTCAATAAGTCTACCATGCCAACTAATAATATATAATGAACTACAAGCACGTGATGTATGCTCTTGATGATTAATCATATCTTCTGGATTGAGAAAACCACGTGAGATACCAAATATTGCAGCCATACATAATGAATCAATATTGAATGGTGCAGTAAGACCACTAACAAAATTATCAGTTGGCTGACGAATTATTGTAACAGCTGTTGAAAATATACATTCAGCATTTGTTCGTTTAGTGCGTGTTGATGATAAAGAATTATTAGTATGATTATTTACATTTGATGAAGAATTAATTAAAGTATTTGATGAAATATCTTTTAAACTATTATCATTTGTATTAGTATTTGATTGACGTATTGATTGTTCTTCGAGACCAGCTGTACGATGATAACGATCTACTTTATTTACAACATAATTTTTTGTATGAGTACGAACATTAGCAACACCTGAAATAAATAAAATTTTTCATAATAATTTCAATAAAGAAATTTGGAAGGGATTGTATTGCTCAGTAATTAATTTTAACAGATTCAGTATTCAAGGGTGTAGATGTCGGTCTTCCTTACAGCAGCGCCTACATCTACGTCAACAAACCACACTCAATCCCACATTTACAACCACAACCACAGTCATAGGCACACCGTGTCTCAATAAAATGAATATTTCCATATAAATGTATGATTGAATAAACGCTGATCTTCACCTAAGGAGGGAAGTTCTTCAAGTGATGAATCGCTTTTGAGTCGAGATTATGTACATTATGTAGATTCGAATGAGTTATGAATACCATGAAAACATCCTATGTCCTCAGCTTATTGCTGCTGAGATGCTACATTTTACAGTTTTTTTAAATGAATGACGTGATAACAGAAAAACTGGTTTTAACAAGAATAGTTTCAGATCTTATCGTTGTTTCTATCCTAAGATATAGCTATGGTAACAGCGTATCTTTTAAACTAACGGTAAAGTCGACGTTCTTATTTCAGAGTAAAAGCAAATCAAAACACTTGAAACTAGTATTGTTAAGATCTGTTTCAATACAAAATTTCAAGCGGAAATTCGAAAATCATTTTTTTCCAGGATGACCAAGGTATTCATTTAAAAATACCGTAAAAGTGTAGTACTTCCGTAGCAATAAGATGGGAACACAAACTCTTTTCAGAATGTTCATAATTCATTTGAGTCTACATAATGCACAGTCTTAACTCAGAAGCAATTTATTAGTTAAAAAATTTCCCTCGTAAGTGAAAGCTACAAACATCACTACATTCCAGAAAACATCATAGATAGCAAACCATCTCTAAATCTTTTTTTTTATCTAAATAGTTTATAATGTTGAAGTTCTTTGAATGCAGAGACATAACCGGTCTAGTTGAAAAAGCATTTATTGATATGCTGTTTTTCTTTGACAGAACATCTCAAAAGCAAACTTGAGTGCTCTTCTCAAAATAATCAAATAGTTTTATCTTTAATCCGACACTCACACTATAAATATGATATTTCGTTTAGAAATGATTCTTATCAAACGATTGAAAATAACTCAACAAATCAGATCAATCATGAGTATCATTGTACAGTATGAATGTCTTTCTAAATGATCGTTAGAATCCGAATAGATACTACATGTCATATAGTCAAGATGTAGTACTTTATCTTTACCTCCGTATGGATTAATGGCAAATAAATGTGTTGTTCCTCGTTTTGTTGATACAGCAAGCCATCGACTATCAGTTGTAAATGTCATATGGGATACTAAAAAAAAAAAATACGAGATAATCGATATAAAAAAAAGTACAACATATTTTTCTTTTGTTTTTATTACCTCGGCAATCAGTATCTCCACGAAATAAAGTATATAAATGTTTAATATATGTTCTTGTACAACGATAAGGTGATACTTGAATTTCTAATACATTAAAATAATGTCCACTAGTATCACATGTAACAAGTAAATGTCCACTTGGATTAAATTGTAAATATCCAATTGGTTCAGTATGAGCTTGAAAATGAGCTATAATCCAATTTTGTCTTTCATCATGAACTGTTGACTAATTAAAATAAACAAAAATAAAAAAAATAAAAATAAAAATTGTATTTTTCTTACTCCGAATAATTTAATTGTATCTACGATTGTTACTACACCTGCTTGCAATTCATCTTTTCCAGATCCATGTCTATGACGTGTTGAATTTGTATTACCATTATTATTCGTTGTATTATGCATTGTTGATGATAATGGTTGTTTAGGTGGTGATATTTTTTCATTTAAATTCAAATTATTTATTTGTTGTCCACTATAACCTAATACACTTTCGCCTATTTTAACAACACTTTTTGATAATGATTTAGCTGCATTTAACATAACACCTGTATATGATACATTTTGTTCTGATATATTACTATTAATACCACCTGATGATTGATGAATTAAATAAAGACGATAATCAACAAATGCTAACCATCGTGTTGATAATGCTAATGGTAATGATGAATATAAATTAGTTAGAAAAAATTTTTCATTAAATTTTATTATATCATAACCAATAATAAATGTATGTGTAGCACAAATAAGTACAGAATTATTTGATTCAATTAATATTGGTTCAGTTTGAATACCAATACCAGGTAAATTTAATAATTTGATTATTTGTTGATCATTTTTTAATGAACGTATTTGTATTGATGGTGGTCCAGCTGATTTAGCAAATGCAATTAGTGGTCGATGAGATGAATATGTATCATCATATGATGAATTTATTGTTAATAAACATGCTGAACAAATATTATGTTCACGAATAGAAAATAATTCATTTGCTATACCATTTGTTTCAATTGACCATAATGTTAAAGTACTTTTATAAGCAATTAATAGAACCAATGTATCAGTACGTATTGATGAATGCCAATTGTGTGCATTAGAAAGAAAACGAACCCATTCAATTGGTTCTAATTGATCATTATTTGTTGTAGGACGTGAAGATATAGCATATGCCTAAATTGATGATGGACATGTGTTCGGTTTTTTTTTTTTCAAGAAAATATTTCAAACTTACTTGAGGAACTTTGTCTACGACATCTTGAAGAAGACCAACAACTGATTCAATCACACTTTTTTCACTAAAATGAATAATTTATAAATATAAAATAAAATATTACTTAAATAAATGAATTTACTTGACAACTTCCGGTCGAACTTTTCGTAATTCAATTGACGATACATAGGACATTCAGGCAGCTAGTTTTAAATGTATATGTCTATATATATATATTCATTTATGTTCTACAATCAAATATACATTCAACAGTTAAGTTAAGAATGTGTCCATTTATAAATACATATATATATATATCGTCAGAATACAATACAAGAAAAAAACTAAAAACAAATCAAATCAGCTGACATTTCTAAATAAAACCATAATGATGAGTCATAAGTGGAGAGTAGAAAAAGAAAAACACAACAAACAGCTAGAAATAAAGAAAGAAAATTAGTTGATCAATCAATTCATCGTAACTAATCATTTAACGGATCTAATTTTGCATCAATAGATGTCACTAATGAAGCAAAGTCAGATGTACAACATGAGCTATATTTTGATGTTCCATATTACCTTGTAGGGCTCAATTGAACATCTGAAATTTCTTGGTTTTATTACAATAACTCTGAGCGTAACCAAATAAACGAAAAGATGAATGTAAAGTGGTGGAAAAAAGTTTAACAACAACGTATTTTTGTATAATGTCAATCAATTAGCACAAATCCAGATAGTGATTTTAATAACCAATGTAGTCTTCTATCTAATAGATTCTATAGCAAGATTTCATAGATAAACTATGATCTCCAGATTTCTGAAAAATCTGATGCGGTAGTTTTCAAGTCGTAGAAGCCCATTTTCAACACTGATATTCTAAAAGAGCGAAAAATGCGAAGTCGCTGCATTTTCTACAGCCTTCTCTTAAAAATTTCAAAAGCATCCCAAAAAACGGAATTTATTAAAAAATCGACTAAAAGTCGTTTTTTATGACCCTTATAACTTTTTAACGGAAGGTCGTAGAAAATCCAGCGATCCCTCATTTTGTTCTCTTTAAGATGGTATTGTTAAAAGATAGGTTCTAGGATTTGAAAACTAATATGCTCAGTTTTTTAGAAACCTTGCTATGTGCATCTATGAAATGTTGTTATAGAAAGCATATGATAGAAAAGTCCATTGGCTATTAAAATCAAAATCTATACTTGAGCTTATTGCTTAACATTATAGAAAAATTTCCTTGAACGTCATTAAAAATGACATTTAACCTATGTCAAATAAACTTGTTTGCTGTATTAACTGAAATATAATTAATACTTTTGAGGAAATGCAAATATTTGCGAATACTAAATACTAAGTTAAAATCATGAATTAGCATGTTTTTCATTAGAATAGAAATAATACGACAGACAAATGGTGGTTTTGTACATGCCTGTTCATCTCTGATATAGTGTAGCAATAACATTTGTAATGTGCTCTCGTCCATCTTGTTTTCTTACAGATTTGCAATTTTTTTTTTGGTAAAAACAAATTTTGTCCTGAAGAAGCTATTCTTTTTTCAAATGAAGAGTCTATGATCTTGTTACCGATAAGAACCGATGCAAATCATTCAAAGAAATTTAATATAATAGAATATAGGATTATTTCAAAGTCAAATATCTGAAAATATCTTGATATTTTAAATAAATCATTCACAGAGTCAAGAATCACCCAAAAAATCATTAACAGTAACGAATTCTTTATTAGTTAATGGAATTAATTCAAAAAAAGATAATAATAATTTAATAACGATTGAATTATATGAAGATACTAATAGAAAAGTTGAATTAAATCAAAAGGTTGATCGATTAGAAAGAGATATCTCAGAATGAAACCAAATTATTTTGAAAAACTCGTAAATATATAATCAAGATTAATTTTGTATTATTATTTTTATTTTATAGAAAACATCTCACTATATTAAATCATCGTTGGACAAACGAGTAAGGATATATAAAACTAATACTTACGAGCTCTTTAATTTCGTTCTTAGAGGTGTGATGAAGGTGTCAATAGCTTCTTTATCTTTTCTAGTTTGCTCGACGAGAGTTCTTGCAAATATAAAAGTTTGTTCCAATACATTAGTTTATCTGCCTTATTTTATCGAGTTATATTTGCAGGGATCTTATCTTCAATCCCACCGATACCCACATCCATATTCACACACCCGCATTCATAGCCACGCCTACACCCACACTCTCAAGAAGCTCGTTGCTAGTACTTTCATAATGAAAGCCAGATTCGCTAAATTGATGTACTTTTTCCTTGGAAGGCTTGTATGAAAAGTTGAAGTGAAGGAGCATAGATGCAGAAGGAGCCTTCTCGATTCATCATCGAATGATTGAGGGTTTCATTACTTTATTTATACTTATATTTTCAAAACGATTCAATGTACAGATCAGGAAAATAATTTTTGTTTTGCATTATCAGAAGAGAAAGAAAAAAATCCATTTAATAACGACTCATAGGCAGGCAATTTTTTCCACTGCATTCTCTTTTAAAAAAGTACGAGCATGGGTAAGGTAAAAAGAGTTCTTTCTTCCGTCTCCAGTTTCTTCAAACTAGAGCAAAACATTTGCTTTCAAATTAAATCTAGTTGACACAGCGTAGAGAAAGACATCGTCATAGTTGGAATCGGCAGGTTTTTTTGCTTGTCGGAGGGCATCATAAATTCCAATTTCTACACATCATTATGCAGTGAATGATACAAGCTAAAGAATACTGCTGCAAGGGAGCAGTTAAAATGTGGCTGATGTGCAGCGAAACTTCATTTTTACATATTCTATTGAAGGGGTACAATTCCTAATTTCGTATTGCTTTGAGCTTGTAAATTCATTTTATTATGAAAAGTATATAGAATTGAAAATACATATCTTTGTATCTGGGTTGAGTCTAGTGTCATGCAAGAATGACTATGAGGATGTGGATAAAGAATATACTCACACCCACACAATTTTCATTCTATCACGGAAATCAGTAATTGAATGTCTTATCATTCTTCATGAAAAACAGATAGAAACATTCGAAGCAATGATAATGTTTGAAGTATGAATCTTCTGCAGAACCTTACGTAAATCAATTAATGATCTCGATGAAATAATTCTGACTGATGATACCCCGATCACTTCGATGTCTACGACAACCACATTATTCAAAAGCCCAAGGATCCGGCCATGTCCACCAAAAGATTTAGTGAAAAAAGGTGATCGGACTATTACTTGAACGACCATTCGTCGCGAACAGTTCAAATTAATATTCACAGAAAACTGCAAATCGATATAGCTATTTCCAATGTGACGTTAGTTATGATTTCGTTTTTAAATATTCTACGAGCTGATAACTATCCAATGCTATTATAAGTTACTTGAATTTTTCGGCGAATTTCTCAAACCACCCTTTCTTTAGTTTTGAAACTGTTTTTGAGTTGAGCACAAGGGTTATAGTTGATTGAGTCAAAGCTTTTTGTCACAGAATGTAGTCAATCAACTTTTATTAAATACGGATCCCGATTCATTACGAATTTAAACTTTTTTCAAGTCCAACCTAGACTCACCTCTTAATCAAGCCTACAGAATCTGGATCTAGAATGAATCCGACGGATTCTGCTATATTATTTATATTGACAACTAGGTATGAGTATTGAGATGAAGAAGAGTTATATATTTTTTTCCTATTGAATTAATAAAAAAATAAAGGCTACTCTGTGAGTGAAGGGTATAAAGATAAAAAGTTGCATTGAAGCTTTTATATGTATCGAACATTATCTTCGACCTGGATATACATCCACAGTGAAGAATCATACCTTTAAGTAATCAGCTACATACTGCTAGTAGTGCCAGCCGGCAATCGTAGTGTCAATGAAATGCATCTTCTTTCACAGAGACCATTTGATATCTCCACACAATAGTCTCACTGAGAAAATGTTAGCCAATCTAGTATTGCTGAACAATAAACTTTTAAAAACTAGTTATCTTAACTTTTACTACCCGTTTGATGAACTTTAGTGTCTAGAATAAGTAATATTTTGCTATGACTTGTAAACGGGACCAGAATATTTAAAGTTAGAACAAGACAAGAAAAAATATTAGATCAAAGTTGAATTCGAAGTTGGTTCCAAAGTCGGGTTACAGCCAGAGCTGCTCACCTCTGCTTCATTTGATAGTCAGATTATTCACTTTCCAATCAAAATCATTGTTGGTCCATATCTATCCGTTTTCTTTTCATAACAAGCTGACATTGACGAAATGAAGGCATCAATGTTTTATGGCTATTTAATACGTCACCAGTATTGAAGACCGAGAGTAAAGCACATGCTAACTAAACTCTTATTTATCAACTTTTACAATAAGAATAGCAATCACTTTCTCTAGACATCAAACAATAGAATTGAGAAACTGACGGAACATATCGAAATTATACGAATGGATTTTTAAAAGGTTTGTTTATTCATTTAAATACATAATCTAATATGGCTAAAAGTTCTTCCGTTCATCAGTGAACAGGTATAATTTTTTCGGAGATCGTATCTTTAATCCATTGATTAATACGCAATTTTGTGTACAAAACAAAAAAACATATTAAATATCAAGTTTAAAACTATCCATAAAAGTAACAATCTGTTCAAATAATGCTGCTAATCGATACTGGTTGTCATGAAGATCATTTGTTATTGCTATTCGTAAACTAGTCTTATATCGACTAACAAATTCATCATATAATTTAAATAAAGCATGTTCTATTAAAGTCATTCGTTCGTTTATTTGATGAATTCTAAAAAATAAAATTTTAATATCAATCTGGTCTCCCGCCGAGGATCCGTTAAAAAAGAGAAATAAAGAGGATCAATGTAAAAATAAAAAAAGAAGAAGAGTAGGAGACTCTTTTTTCAACCATTAATATCATAAAAAACACTCAAAGTGAAGCGAAAACTCCAACATCACGAAACTGATCCTTTATTAATCTCTGTTTGGTAGTCGTTTAAATATAACGAGTGTAACAAAAGTTCCTAGAAAAATGTCAGGCTCTTTTTTATTCGAACAGAAAATGATAGAAAGCTAATTCTGATTTTTAGATATAGATCTTGGTTTCTACTTTCAAAGCATGTTTCACAGGCTTCTAGTCATACACTATTAGCAAAATTTATTCGGTTTTTATAGATC